ATTGACTAATCCTGATGCTCATGAATGGTCTGGAGTATTGACTCAACAGCTCTCTCGATGGGTTGTAGTGATGACGACGTCGTCGTTACCGTAGCAACCCGCTGGCGCTTGGGGGCTTGCTTTGAGGCTTCACGAGCCTCGATTATACTCTCTACACGTGCAAATTTATCATTACCCCCTTCTTTAACCTTCCTTTTACCCCGTGGCTTGAGTGACTCCAGCTTGGTCTGTAAATATTGAAGCTGGTGATCTTTAGCGGCGAGCTCAGCGTTCTTATCATCAAGCGCCTTGGCTGCTTTGGTGTAAATAGTCCGGATATCACGGTCAACAGCAGCTAACTTGTTGTGAATGCTTCCCAACATATCCCTGGACTTCTGGGGAGTCTTGAAAATGTGGTTGACCTCAGATATTTCGTTTCTGGGTGGCGTTTTGGGTGGTGATGGCTGGAGAGGGAGGGCACTGTCATTGATGACAGCGTCGGGGTCGTCAAGCACAACAGATCTGTTCATTGGCCATATACCAGTCTTTTTGAACCCTGATCTGAGGTTTCTGGAGCTCACGCCTTGTCGTGATGCTTCCTGATAACACTGGAGGAACCGTTGTTTATTTACTGGTGCAGATGCTGGAAAGCTAGCGTAATCCTTTGTTGAATCTCTAAAATATAACTTGACGGCGGCAAATACGGATTTATCGAGTGGTTGAGTCTTATGAGAAGTATGGGGAGGTAAAAAGAGTAGTTGAACGTTGTGTTGAAATGCCTCAACGAGAAAATCGTCAGATAGATGACTCGAGTGCTCATCGAGAATCAAGAGACGCCAGCCATCAACCTGGGTCTCAGGAAGGTAAACCTCCTTCAACCAGCGTAAAGCAATCTCTGAATTGCTCCATCCAGTCAATGTACTATCGTATTTCCAGCTCTTGAGCTCATCGTCCATATCGTCAGGGAACCACTGTCCCTGGAGGTTGGTACCAGAAAAGATGACAACGGGAGTCAACCTCTTGCCCTCAGCGGTCCCACACTCGATAATGGATACCCAAGCGGTTGCGTCGGTCGTTGTTACGTATGCCTTCTTCGTCAGGGTAGACCCAAGCACTTTGCCATCCTTAGATTCCAACTCTTGAAGACCATGTTCATCCATATTCGATATATTGGCTGGGATAATACCCTTGTCGCGAATCTGGACTTCCAGAAGGTCGAAGAACTTCGTGAAGGCTTCCCGGGTAGACCCTCTAACTCTCGCTGACTCGAGCGGCTTCGAAAGCTTGGTCTTGATATTGGGGTTGCGCTTCAGGAATCGGTCTACCCAACGGGCGCCCAGCTTGTCATAGTCGCCTCCTCTTTTCAATATCGACGACGCGAATCCTGACACCTGACGACGGTTGGGAGCACGGCCGGCCTTCTCCTCATTCAATATCCATCTGCAGATGAAGGATTCTTGCGTTGGCGATAGCTTCTGGTGGGGGATTTTGACGTCGCGTTTGGTAGGAATGCCTTTGACACGGTTGCCGAGGGTAGACCGTGGAATCCCATACTTCTTCGCTGCTGCGCGCTGGGAAAGTCCGTCGCGAATAGCCTCAAGCGCTTCTTCAATCAAAGGCGAGCTCATTGCAGTAGAAACGAACGCGATCGGGCTTGATTTGATGCAATTGTGGTTGTTGGGAGAAGCAGGGTGGTGATGTTGCATGAGGGGAAACAGCGGTGTGGATGTGGCCAGTTGAGGGGGGTGGCCAGCTGAGGGGTCAAGACTGGTAGAGGCTACTAGTAAGCGCGCCGCAGGGTCAGATTGAAGAAAGTGGCTTAGGCGTTGCCGCAAGATATGATGAAATCGCGGGTCAATCGCGCTGGGAAATCCCGTTCCTGCTGCAGGCCCAAGGTTGCGATGACCGGCTTCCAGGTTCAGGATGTCTCGTGAAGCCTCTGATGGGAAGGGCAGGGCACGGAGCTACGGGGGCAATGGGGCGACGGGGTCCTGTTGACGCTTGACGAAAACCAGTGGGTGACCCGCGGGGAGAGACGGGGGACCGAACGGGAGGGAGCCGCGAACAGATTCGCTGAATGGTTGAAAGTGGAAACTGCCCGTAAAGCAGGCAATGTGCGTGTGCAAAGTGAGTGGAAGCACCGCCTGTCGAAGTGCTGCGAGGTGACTTCGTGCCCGACAGTACTGTGATGCGATCTACTGCTTGGCCCGAGCTTTAGCTACCCTGCCGCGCGGTTCTTGGCGTGCATATCTGTTAACAATCCAGATCAAACTTGGCGCGCCGGAACCCCTAGGCTGCCAGGTGCCAGCAGACAAGGGCAAATGGAAGGTCAGGCCGCCCGTGGAAGTCCAAGTCAGATGCCGGAATGAAAAGATACCTACTCGATCTATACTGACTGTTTTCACGATGGAGGTTTTCCGTCTGGATTAGTGACAATGGAACCAATGCTGACATCAATGCCGCGAAAGAGATGAAAGCGCGTTCTACCAATGTTAAGAGAAAGTTGACGCGCCGCGGAACGTCTTGTTAAGCATAGAGGTATGTACTTCGTTGCTTTGACGCACCCAGTGCACACCATGACACGCGCACCTCGGCTGCTCTTCCGGAAGCTTCGTTCGCAAAAGTTGGGATTTTGGGGTTTAAACTTCAACCCTCGCAGCCCATCCACATTCCCCCAATGTCCGAATCCAGGCCATGTCACTTCATGTCGATGAGATCCACCCCCTCCGCCCTATCTCCGGGGCTGTCAAAAGCACGCCTCCAGGTTGCCAGAAACATTTTGCATACTGTAGGTCAAAGTATCTCGAGCTCCACTTCTCCCGTTCCCCATTCCGGCTATGACCTTCCCGTCTCCATTCCGAGACATTGAAGTACTGGATTCACAGACTGACAGTTGGAATGGTCGGATGGAAGAGGTGGGAAATACCTTACCCCAAGAGCGAAGTCGCTGGTGGGGGACAAAGTTTAAAGTGGAGACAGCATGCCCTATGATCCTATCTGCATTTAAATGCATTCCCACGTCCACCAATTAATTACCTTTTCTCGTACCTTTGTCTCGCTAGACGCCTTCTTGTCGGCAACAAGGCCTCCCAGGGGCACTCCGCTGTAAGAGGCGTTCCCCTCAGGTATCCCCGCTCCCACGCCACCCCGCTCCCGCTCTCTCCCGCGGTGCCGTTCCATTCTTTCGGGGTCTTCCAGGTTATCGGGGTTCCGTCTCACACTCGAGGTATGTATCGGGACCCACATCATCCGGTCAGGCCCGGATCCACTTTTGAATAACCTTCAACCTCCCGTCCCGCTCGCCCCGCCTGTCTCAACCCGAACTCCAGACTCTGGGTTTCAAGCTCCACTGGACTGCCATCGCCGGAAAAAGAAGGTCTCAACATTTGTGAACCGGTGGGACTAACATCATGGAACTCGCCTCTCCTTTGTCCCGGCTTCATATTGCCCGTCGTCGACGTCCTGTGGCAGCATCTCTCTTACGGTGCGCTAACGTTGCGGTTTTCGCACAGCTAATCACCCACTACATACCACCTCCAAGATTCAAGCACCGGCGAGTACGATGGTGTCCATGACAGCAATTACATCTCCATCTTCCAGTCCAGCCACCAGACTCTAGGTACTTGAGCACTGGCACCTTATCATTGGAAAATCCCCGGGCTTCACGATATCCACCACGGGGATGGAACAGTGACCTTGGTTTCAAGGTTCAAGATGCTCCCCTTCCCATTTACCATTGCCCATTTCCCGCTGATTTTGGCCAGCACAACTTAAGGCCATGAAGACACGGCTTTTTTTTTTTATTTTAGCCAATGACGTCTCTTTTGGGCAAGCCACAAGTACTGACACAGCTACAGTAATGTGCCCTGTTAATGCAACTAATGCCGGCAGCCAGATTTCTTTGCAAAAGGGGGGCTTTTGCAAAGGATGGTACTAGTGCACAGACCAATATATGCTGTGGGGCTACTAGATTACGGGTCGACTACCCTAAAGGTGGGTCACTTCGACCCTCTCGCACCGCCGCTATTCGTCCTGCCCACCTAAATCAGATCCCTGTTAATGCAAATCCCCCCCGTCAGTATTGCAATTAGCAGTTAGCAGTCTTCACCACCAGAGGGAATGCGGGCAGCCGAAATCTTTAGCAAAAGGGGGGCTTTTTGCATTAAGGGGGCTTAGCATTAACAGGGCACATTACTGTAATCAGCTGTCGAGTCTTCTATCCATCCAAGGATCTCATCTTGGGCTTCGCCATTGTACCAAGCAGGAGCTGATACATCGACACCAAGGTCGACCCCTAGACAATTGGCGACGTTGTCTAGGGTGGACGGCCACTCGTCGAGTTCCTAGGCACAAGGCATCGCCGGTGTGCCCAGTCTTGCCTTTTCTTTCGAAACCAAGGCTGCCTTCACGATGGTTTCTTCCATTAGGACGTCAGCTGATTCGATACTACAACTTGTCTTCCCCACTACGATATTATTCTTGGACAGCCTTTCTTTAAGGATGCCCAAGTTAAGTTGAACTATTCAACTTATAGTATCGAATCAGCTGACGTCTTGATAGAAGAAACGATTGTGAAGGCAGCCTTGGTTCCAAAGGAAAAGGCAAGACTGGGCACATCGGCGATGCCTTGTGCCTAGGAACTCGACGAGTGGCCGTCCACCCTAGACAACGTCGCCAATTGTGAAGGTACTGAGCCCAAAGATTTATTATTATTATTATTATTAAAGGTTTTTTTTTTTCCTTTTGTTCCGCACGATATCTGGAGGATCCTCGGGTGGCGGGACATAACCTTATGTCACCCACTCAAAAGGCAACGGCACACTTCGTGTCTCTAAGTTCAAGACGTTGTGGTTTATAGGCATGATATATCGAGTGCTGATGCTACAAGCGAAGCATGTTCTTGCTTTCTGTTGCGCGTTAATTTATGTAGCCCGGGATTGCCGCAGGTAACGCCATCAACACTTGTCACCTTGGACAAGGAACGTAGCGAACCATCTGCAGCAAGATCTATCATCTGTCCTTCAAACCCCCACGCCAGCTTTCTGCTCCTCTGAGACAGACTCAATGGTGATAGAAATCACATCTTCGACAATCACAAGCCGATGCAGCACCCGTCGGATGATGGCAGCGGCTGGGCTGCTGATCTTCTGAGACAGGCCTGGCCATGGCTTTATACGGCTTGGGAGTTTTGTCCTTCTTTTCTTCTTCTTCTTCTTCTTCTTCTCCTCCCACGTCGTGTTCTACTGCTAACAAGGTGATACACACCAGGTTCGGGAGGCCGTATTTTAGCCATGGAAAACTCTTGAGACAGAGCAGGAACACACCGTATCGTGGCGAGCGCTACTATCGTGACGGGCCTTGGTCTTGGTCATGCCGTATCCGAATTTCAAGCCCCAACGCCTAATTTTCTCGATGTCATGGGCTGCACCGAAACCGATTGGCTTTGCAATCACGAAGATAATACTCCTGCCACGGTGGCCCTGGCTTATGAAAAGGCATTAGCAGGATCATCAATACATCACCCGAGATCAACAGCATCGACACAGCACCGGCAAGCTGCCTCTTCTAGGCTCGCTCGAGATTTGCGATTGACTGCCAGCTTCGGGTGACAGCAAGATATGCGCCGCGATGTGATCGAAAAATAGGCTGCAGGAGGCTGAATATGTGTGCGTATGCCGGTACTGCGGTTACGCCAGGAACCCGTCAGGCTTGTATTCCGGCCAATCGCATCCTGTCCGAATAGCCACGCTTATCTCGCATTTGCCTGTTCGAGGCTGCAAGCAGCAAGGAACACTGTCGAATTGGGCATTGATGGTATCGCCGACATATCCTCCTAGCTGACTGAAACTCAATACACATTTACATGTGGTAAATTTGGACAAGCAAGCCCACAATCGATGTGCGGTGTGGTTATAGTCTGGGCTTTGACGTGCCAAAGCAAATCGGATGTATGATTCGGGAGGGGAAATTTAATCTTGTCGAGCAAGCGTCTCTCCGTCCCAGACATTTGGCAGATCATCTTCATCCGATGAAGATTTTGGAGCATGCCCTTGTCTGGCCACCAAGCTGACCTGTATCGGACGATGAGATTCTCAATAGCCGGCGGCTTTCGAAGACTGTCAGGAGTGGTATAAACGAGCAAGATGTCATTCATCTAGGGTAAAGTAAGTAAGCCTCCATAGCAAGCCTTTCCCCTTTTGATCAAGCACAATGCCTCAAGGTAGTTAAGGTTTCGGAGAGTATGGTTATAAAGCCGCCCAAAACTCTTGCTTGCTTTACGCCTGAGATGACCTGTTAGGGAGGTGGTCAGTAACATTCGAGAGCCTGGTATTGTGGGTTCTATTTTAGTCCATGTCGTCGTATTGAGTGAGGTTGGGCTGCCAGGGGCGGCGGGCGGATAACGACGTCAGCTATAAGCCGCTCCGATATGATATCTACCTACATACTTATATCAACCTCAGAACTCGTATGGTATGCCTCTCCGGGCCGATAAGATGTGCAGTAAAGGTAAAGTCCGGTTGAAAGGCATTGCGGCATTCGATCACTCATCAATTCCGCCATTGCATTCGTGCGTCCGCTTGGGAATAGACTGCCTTGTATTCATTATTTGGACATGACAATCCGACGGCACCATGACTGCAGTACTAGCAGAGGAGCTGAGCAAAAAAGTTCAGCCCACGTGTATGGTAAAGTACTCTGCTCTGGATACGTACACCATCACCGATCGGGTCCCACGTAAGCCACGGTCATGCATGTTCACTTCCCAAAGAGCGATGTACACATGCTGAAAGCTGGAAGACGAAGGCGGCTGCCACTATTGACTTATGGTGCTGCCAGATTCGGAATAGGGCGCTCAGAACAAGCCAACCAAAGCCAACCACAGAGAGTGAGGCAGGCAGGGAAAAGATGCTTTCTGCAGTCATTCACTCGCGCTGACCGACCGATAAAGCAGCCTTCACCCACATCAATAGTCGCACTCCAGCGTTCTGGGAATGGCTTATGCGTGCTGCGCTGTTGGCAGACCGGTAGTTTGCTATCGATGCTGAATACCACGATCTGGATTCCAACAGCATCGTCGCATCGGGGCCGCATTGCCATGTACGAGGTGGGTGGTGATAAGTCTGATATATGGCCTGCTACGGTGGTACGACCAGTTGGGGGTTCCTTTTGAGGAGGTGTCATTGATTACCTGCACTGATAGGAACCTTCGATGAGGATGGAAATTACACGCATCATGGCTAGTGATAAAGGAAGCAAGTTTCCTTTGGCGCCCCGCCTATCAAGTGCGGCTGGAGGGGGAACAAGAAGAAGAACACGACGAGGCTTCCTCATAAGCCCTCACAGGTACGCTCAGGCACAAGGCACAAACACCCGGGTAATGAACTTGAGTTCTTCATGCCCTGCCAAGAGGGGACACTTGTGTCGCGGGAAGGCTTCGAAGGAGAACCAATGACTCCTTGGGGCTCCTCTCACCTTTTTGTGTTCGCGTCGTACAAGAAATTCCTGAGGGTGTGGTCTGAGTTGTCCACGGTCTGTGTGGTAAAAAGGGGGCCCTGTCAGTTCCTCAATCGCACGATGCCATGCCTAACCTTTACAACAGACGCTGTTGAGCAACAACATCCTTCTGGCTGCTCTGCGGCTGACATGGCGTCAGGGCTCGTATGGAATTTTGCACGCTGTGAATGGCCCAGTGGAACCCCAAAACCCATGGCCTATAACTCGGAGATGGTTATGACCAAGGTTACTTCCTTGCTTAGATGTGCAGTACGTGCATCTGGTCCATCCTCGTTCACGGGCAGCAGACCGTCGTTCATATTGCGCCGCCGTCCTAAGCAGCGGTATGTACACATACTACAAAGTCAAGGGGCGTAGGTACCAGTACGGCATGCGTTGTGTGTGCTTGACCAACCGATGTGAATACGAGAAGGGATGGGGGACAACAAAAGTTCTCTCATTACCTACCCCCCGCCCGCCCAGCTCTTGTCGGCGTTCATTAAAATATGCGGCGCTTTGCTTCTTTGCTTTTTCTAGCTCTGCGTTGGACTCAGAGAGGTACAAACCGCAACAATCTCGCAGCTTACTCTTTCTCGACGGTGCGGTCTGTAGATGAGTCGGGGGGAATGAGTGGGCGGTTGATAAGCCGCTCACAACCAACCTCGTGTAACTGGGTAATAACAAGGAAAAGAAGGAATGGGCTCTGTCGATTGCAATTTGAGGTTATCTGCTCAATATTGACTGCGAAGGAGTTTTGCGGGTTTGTGAAAAGGTTCGATGCTTCAGGAAAATCAACAAACCAACCCTTTGTTTGGACCGGAAGAACATTGCCGACACAGACTGTGTTGTTGCTGACGGTGTCCAGAAAACCAGAATCTTACCTGACGCCAAGAAGCCTATCAAGTGCTAACTAACACATCTAGGTACATGCGTATTGTAACCGACATTCTACACTACTGCGTGTAACAGTAACAGAAGATAGATAAACCCACGTGTTGATGATACAAGGTTCCTTTTCTCGGTGTCTTGGTGGATAAGGTACCTAACGAGGTTTGGTAGGCCTCTTTGAACAAAACTTGGACAAGCCTAGCCCTAAAGCCATCCTTACCTGTAGGGCCTGCCCCGAAGAGACTTAGACTTCGGCATGGTTGCCTTTTTGAATGGACCCAGCGAGCTGGAACACCTCTAGTTTTAGTGTCAGGCAAGGGAGAAACACGGTACGTACCTCTACCCATGCGGACAGGGGTTCACGAAGGACCGTCGGCGGCTGGACCATCTTGGTGCTGTGTACAGGTACCTCTACCCTATCACCCTTTTGCTGAGGTTAGGTACTTCTACTCTTGGGTACAGCTTCACTCACACCAACCACTTTGTCCGCTTTTTTAATCCGATAGCAACGCAACCAACCCCGCCGGGCGTGCAGCGAGGAAAATGCGGCTTCTCTTCCACAGATTCGAGTCCCAGGAACTCGTTGGATGCGTTGGCGTACACTCTTCCGGGAGCGGGAGATGGGACTCATGTGGTGAGTGGTGACCCCCCACCGCGTGGCTGACGGCGTCGTCGTTGCTGTGTTGTTGCTCCTTTGCTGCAGCTTCTCGCTTCGTGCTTCTCCTTCTGCTTCTTTCGTTTGTCCATTCCCAATGCCCAGTCATCGCAGTCGTACTGGGCATGTACAAGGTACTCATCGGCCACGGTGCTTCCCATGGGGGAAACCGGCCAGATGCCTGGCTGCTCGGACGTGGAATATGCCCAGGTCACTGCAGCGGTGCTATCTGTTTTCGGCTTCTTGACCGGTCTGAGCTGTAGCTGATGGGGAGAACTCCATGTTGGGTAAAAGGCCTTTGACCTCTGGGATGACAGCCAATGTTTTCCACCCCTGTAATGGCTTCTCTAGGTAGTTTCCTGGGGTCACCTCACTTTTCTGTCCTCCATTTCTTTGCACAGCCGAACCAGCAGGTGGGTTATATAACCTTCACTCAACCCACCTTTATCTATCCTTGGTGGTTGATCAATAATTGTCGCCCAGTTTCGTCCTTACAATATATCTATCCTTGGGCCCTCGATATTACCTTTACTTATTTTCGGCCCGTTCATCCGACCAACCAGATAAGCGAGACCACTTCCCCATCTGCTCGCTACCAATCCCACCTACATCTTGGGGGATCTGTTCGGCAACACTTCATTACGTTGTCTCAGGTACCACTTGGACACCTAACGGCCCACAATGTCGGTATTCTCTTTGATCAAACGAAGCCGGCAGGCAGCAAAGGAACAGAACGCAAAGAATGCCCAAAAGGACAAGGAAGAGGCCAAGGTCCCATACAAACACATACCCAGGCATGCCGCCCTCGATGCTCTCATGGGTGGTCCAACGGGCTGGAAGGAGGCCGATCGACTCAGAATCATGGAGGAGAACCGAAGGAGGAGTGTCATGACAGCAAACGGCATGGGTATGCCGAGCGGACTCTCAACTCCAGTCCACGCCGGTGTCTTTACGCGCGCCAACAGCAGCCTCACGCACGTTTCATACAACAACCCCAGCGGCTACGCCACACCCGTCCCTCCAATTCCCCGAGCATACAGCTACCACGGCTCGATCCCGGGATGGAGCCATCATGGCGGTGAAGTCAGCTATCTCTCGATCGACATGGCTGGAGCTGCCAGCAGTGGAACATCGATCAAGGGAAAAGAAAAGGAACTTCGGCGTCCCAAGCTCGACTCCGGCCGTGCCAGCTGGTCTTCAAGCAGGCTTGCAGCAACTGGTGGACGAATTCACTTTGAAGGAGGATCTGGCTCTGCCCCTCGAACCAGGGACGGCTCGAATTCCCCCGTCCAGAGCTCCAGCAACTCCAGCAGCTCAGAAGACGATTTGGAGATCACGCCCGTGAGGAAATTTACCAGCGCAGTGACAACCTCAAGTCCGCTCGCGGGAGTACCCAGCCGGCGGGCAAGCGACACCGACTCTGTTCACCGTCTCCATCCCGGTCATGCCCGAAATGTGTCAAACTCATCATACAAACAAGCCGGACAATCCTCATCGCCCAGTCAGTCATCCCCAAAGAGTAGTCCGACCAAAGTAGGAGGAGGTTTAACCAGCAGCAGCGCTTCACTGAGTGCCGCCGGCATCCCACCCGTTCCAGCAATCCCTCCCATGCAATTCGGCGGAACCCTCGCTCTTCCCACAGCTCCCCCTTCGCACAAGAGTTCGCACCCCATTGCCCCGTCCGTGGTGGTAGAAGAAGATGGCCCAGACCTCTCAGAAGACAATAGCCTCCAATTCTCTGCCGGCACCGGCGCCGTTACTCCCCCCATTGGCACCGCTGTCTCAACGGTTCACACAGCAAGCACTACCGCCGAGCCGGAACCGATGCAATCCAACGTCGTCTCCAACATCAGCGACAACAGTAAAACCCAATACAGGACGTACTCCAGTCAAAAGGAACGGTCGGCCGTCGCTGTTAGCGCTCTACCCACCTCGTTTGACGAAGCGAGCTTGGCGATTCCCCAGCAATTGGTGGCGCTTCCTCAGCACCAGGCAACTGGGAAGTTGGGGAAACGGCCAAAGAAGATTTCCAAGGAGGAAGGGGAGGAAAGGGGAACTAAGGTGCCGAAGAAGAGTCGATGGAGCTTTATGAGTAACAGGAGGACGGCTGTTGCGGTATGACAGCATACCTAACAATCCTTTAAAGATGCTTTAGTGTGTATCAGGAAGAAAACGGTTCTCCAGGAAGTTGAACTCATTTCGAAATCAGTATTTACAGCGGTTTCTCTACCTTTTCTTTTGTCTTACGAGGCCACGGTGGCGGCATTTTGAAAATTGGTTTTGTTTTACTTACTTAATTCTTCTTATCGTCGTACTATCTCTTTGGTGTATGATGTATAGGTTCTCCTGAGCTCATTTGAGATCCATGACTCCTTCTCCTTTTTTTTTTTTTTTCTTGTTGAGAGCGAGAGTATCAACAGCATATGTGAATACCTGCTAGAAAACCTTGACGAATCTGGAGAAGATGGAAATACCACCACTGTTTTGCGATCCTTGCTGTCTGAAAAATTACTTTCTGACCATCGTTGTTCTGAAACAAAGATTTCATTCTTCCGAATCCACTTGCAAGTGATGAAAATTGGTGGCGACTGAACGAAACATTGAGGCCTAGATTACAGCCACCACAGCCTGAAAGGCCATTGTTGCTCGACAGTCTTGTGCTGCAGTTATTACCTACTGCCTCTAGTATCGTACGGTATCGGATTTATTCCTAAATCGACTAGACGGCAGAACAGGTAAGTACCTAGTACGAGGGGTGCGGGTGCGGGTGCGGGTGACGCCTGCTCTATAACCACCCGGCAGCGACTGTAGTGGGTGGAACAACCTTTTAGTGACACCATGAATTCAGCTAGGTACCTGAGTATGCTCTTTCCTGACTGAACTTAAATCGCCCAGGAAACTGGACAATAGGTCAGTCGATAAGGAAGGAGCGAGGGTTCAGGGAGAGGGCAGATAGCGGGATGTACCTCTAGAGGTATTAGTACTTAGTGAGCTCGCTATCGACGGTTGTAGCGTTCAAAACACTAAGGTAGGTAGGTGCTTCTATGTACGGCTCGGCTCGTTTTTGTCTTGTCTCAAATGCTCGGACGGAATAATTGGTAGGTGGCGGCGATTTCCCAAAGTCTCTACGTGTAATTTTGGCGTGGCAGGTGTGGTGGTGTGATTTCGTTTTGTCAGCTTGCAATGACAACCACCAAGCTCAAAGGTATCCTACCGCCAAAGAAAATGTGCGACATGAATCAGTCCGTTTGTATTTCTTTTTCAATGATGCTGTACTGGGCACCTCTGGGAATGCTTTTACTCACTAGTTCTACTAGCTGCCTGTGCACAATCAATGCTCAATGCTACTCCTTCGTTTCGAATTACCCAGAAAGGACAAAGGCGCGATCTGAGACGCTTTAGTGTTTTTCATGCGGCGGCCAACACCGAAGGTTCTTGACACAGTAAGTACTTCGATACACTGAATGGAACAATGGAGGTCTGGACTATGGCGTGCTTTGGCTACTTTGGGCTTGTTGGCAGTTGGCACAGGTCAGCTGAAACGAACCCCAGGACGGCTGCTTGGCTGGCCTCTTTGGGCTGAGAGGAATGGCCATGAGGGGGACCCAACTTCAACCGTATTGGTAATTGTGAGGTCTGCTCGTTTCTAGGCCGGTTAACATTCAGTCTTTTGGAGGGTTTGTCTGGATCCAATGTGTCGTGGACGATACGTGGTGGGTGGGATCATATGGAGTGTTAGGGGTAGATATTGCTGTCTACTCAGCATCCATTCAAAGCCGATGCCGAGTAATGGCTTCATGACTGCTCCATGCCACTCACATCACTGATGATGGGGAGCTGAATGACAGCAGTGCTGTCACCGGTGTGAATCCTGTTGCGTTCGAAGTTCTTGGTAGGCAGAGGATCCTACGACGGAAGATGGGGAGATCAGAACTAGAAAGCGTGGTCGAATAGTTCAACAGCGGGACCGCCAAAAGAACAAGCTGATGTTGCATTCAGGGTCCAAGACCATGTGTTGTTTGAAATGCTTGGCCAGGTTTGGCGGTAACATGAATCCGTAAAGAGAGGCGTGGAAGACGCCCGGCTAACACCACCGCACCGATGGACGAAGTACAACAGGAGCATATGGCTCGTGGGCCAATTTATTGGCGACAATAGCTCGCTTCCTCATGCAAGCCGGGCGGGGATGAATAGGTATTCTCGGTGCGTCGCTTATATCCGGAAGGTAGGAAGCAAAGGACCCGATGCGAAGCTGTTGCAGAGATGAAATAGTAGATTGAATGTTCGATGAATAAGAATTGCCTCCTGCTGTGTCCCTACGGGCATTCATCATGTTATCGCACACACCGGGACGGTCAGGTAAGGCACATCAGTCCAAGCCTCATCCGATTCCTGAATCGACGGACCGGCGTTGTGCGTTCTTTAAGAGACCTCGAGGGTAGATGGTGACATCGGAATGCGATTACTGCGTTGATGACTCCTGGCGATGGTTTCACGTAGTGTAGAGGAGAAGTTGAACACTTCCACGGATGGAATGTATAAGCCACCACGGGTGTGTCTCGTATAAGTGTGGAAGACGGAATGGAAGATCAACAGATCGACAGGGGCGTTGCGGGAGGGGAGCAATTCCAAAGACACGATTGGCCAGCCTTGTCAGCCACAGACCCATTATCCAATGGGGACAGCTACTGTAGAGAACATCTCCACCCGGCCATAGCGCGCCGACACCGTGGCATCTTCCACTTTCCTTGGGCCTGGACAGCCTTATCATCTTATCGCGCCGCGACGGGAGCTTCCCCTCGCTCCACCGTTCGGGACCTTGACGGATACATCATCACTCAGGGCATCGCCAACCGGCGCAATCTGGCTGCTGTGTCTACTATACTTACCTTTCCCACTTCCACTTTGATAGCAATTGAACTATCGCACTCCTTTACTCCTACCACCCGATGCTGTTCTGAGCTCTTGTTTTTGCGGTCTAGCGGCCGCCTTCCTCTCCTTTCGTTTGTCTTATCCAACGCAGTTCCAGTCTAGTCCCCTAAAACTGAATAGTTCGGGTGCCCTGTTTCGCGCGGCGTGAGAGATGGCGCCTTCTTCCACCATCTCGGATATCGTCGGCGCGCCATTGCAGCTGGTCTGGTTTCTGTATGACGTCGCCGCCGAAACCTCGACTCCTACTCTATTTCTAATCGCCGTGTCGGCTGCTGGACTTGCTTTTGGACTTGTATGAGCCTTACCTCTTTCCTGGTCGCCCCTTTCACGTCGCCAGCCCAGCTCATGCAAGGCCTTGACTGACACTCGCATCTTGCTTCCACCTGACGTAGATATACATCGTCCTGCACATAGTTGCGCCCAAGCCTCGCCTCCCGTACCCATCCGAAAAGACTTACATCACCACCAACCCCGATGGCACCATCAGCAAGCCCCGACCGCTGCCCTGCTGGTACGACCGTTGGCACGCCGAGAGCCGTCTGAAGGAACAATCCTCCTCCTCAACAACAGCCTCCTACCCGACCATCCCCGCCGGCTTCCCGGTCCCCGACTTCGGCACTGTCGAGCCCGCCGAAGTCGAGATCAGCGTCGTCATCCCCGCCTACAACGAAGCTGACCGGCTCAACCCCACTCTTGAAGAGATGGTCGCCTACCTCGACGAACACTTTGGCCGGCCCGCAATTTCCGGTCCCGGCTCCCGTCCCACCTCCAAGGGAACCGGCACGCCCAAGCCGCACCGCAACGTGTTTAAGGACGCCTCCGCCCACAAGCGCCAGCACCCGCCCTCGGGCTACGAGATCCTCCTGATCAACGACGGCAGCACCGACCGCACCGTTGACGTCGCCCTCGATTTCTCGCGCCAGCACAACCTGCACGACATACTTCGTATCGTCACTCTGGAAAAAAACCGGGGTAAAGGCGGCGGCGTCACACACGGCCTCCGCCACGTGCGCGGCGAGTACGCCGTGTTCGCCGACGCCGATGGAGCCTCGCGCTTCGGTGACCTGGGCAAGTTAATAGAGGGGTGCGAGGACGTGGTCGACGGGTCCAACCGGGGCGTGGCCATTGGCAGCCGCGCGCACCTCGTTGGCAGCGAAGCTGTCGTCAAGCGCTCAGCCGTCCGTAACTTTCTGATGCGCTCGTTCCACTTTGTGCTGATGATCCTCACGCCGCCGGCGACGAGCCGGATCAGGGATACGCAGTGCGGGTTCAAACTGTTTTCCAGGGCGGCGCTGCCTCATATTGTGCCGTATATGCATACGGAGGGATGGATCTTTGATATCGAGATGTTGATGCTGGCTGAGTCGGCGCCGGCTACCCCTGTTCTGGCAAGCGATGGGAGTGTCATTGGCACGAGCTATGGGATAAAGGTGGCCGAGGTGCCGATTGGGTGGCACGAGGTGGGTGGGAGCAAGATGAATCTGGTCAAAGATAGTGTCAAGATGGCGATCGGCTTGGCGGTGTTGAGGGCTAGTTGGATGCTGGGAGTGTATAGGAGACGGCTTGCTTGATTTGGCAGTTCGAAATAGCTAGTTGCTTTGGCCACTGGAGCGGTGTCTTTTTATTTTATTTTATTTCTTCCCCTCCTATGACCCTTGGATATATCTTGGACATCTTGCAGACTTCCGGTTTCCGGATACCTCGGTCGCTTAGTCATTCATACCAATGCATTTCCTCAATTTTCGCTTTTCTTTCGAGCCTCCCTCCTGATGAAGGCGTAAAAGGCTGGGCAAAAGAATCAGGCGAGCGAGAGGGCGGGGTTGTATTTCAATGGATCTTCGAAACGGCTTCGAAGCCCCCTGTGGACCGTGAGACGATGGTTAGACTAGGCGGATCGAGTGCCTTAATTGGGCGAATTACGAGAGGGACTTGGGCGGTTTTGCAATTCTGCTTAAGCGCCGACATGAAGTGTTCATGACATGCTCGGTTCTTAGTTTTTTGCTGGCTCTACTTTGAGCTTTGGGCCTGGCTTTCGTGGTCGCTGACGGGTATTAAAGTCAATATTTAACGAAACCGACAAGGAAAGAATATGACGAGTTACAGTATCGCAAAATTCCGCGGGCGGCCCGAGCACTCTGAGTTGAAACTCCTCTCCCTTCGGCAGACATCTTCCGGAGTTGTTGGAACGTCACCCTGGCCCCGTCTCCACTCGGATCTGCTCACCTCAACTCATAAATCACCAAAATCACCATCTTTGGCTTCAAATTGCATGCTAATTCCCTTTTTCTAGGCACGGCAGGGATTAGGGAGCAGCTGAAAGCTGCAAAGCTGCACCAGAGTAGTGATCGATCATTTCTGAAAAAAATGGCATTTTTACACATAATTACATTTTTACTGTAATTACAGCTAATTCAGTGGTCCGTGCTACCGTTCGTGCACCTCAGCTACTACTAGGTACATACCGGGCATTAACTGGGCCAGATCTACCTCATTCAGTAGCTTGCTGTTACATGATTAGATAAGAATGGTCAAAGTGGGCATTTTTACATGAAATTTACCATAATTATGGTATTTACCGCTAGTCATGAATTACAAACCGACCACTACACCAGAGACCTGGCAAAACTGCAGGGTGGTGGGTCAGGGGAGGGAACCGACGTGACCGGATAGGGGGTCTTTGAGCCTCCGCCGGACCTGCAGATTCTTCGACATCCAAAGCACGAAGATCACGCCGGAGCTGCTTAACATCCTTGACGGCTACGCTTGTTCAAACACCGCCATGGATCTTCTACCCCGTCGATCCAGAACCCCTTATTTGAACGCAAGTGATGGCGCCAAGTTCCTGTAGAAGTGCACTATGTTTCTCAGTCGTGAGAACTAAGATCAAGGGTCCTGGTACCGACTACACACCAATGTTGGACTGAGTGAAAATTATGTACTGTAGCTTGTGCTAACCAGGGTGGGTGCCTGGCAATGGTGATCCTTAGTCACTGAGATCGACACTTCCCGCTACATACTGGAGTTAGCCCCGGTTTAGCTTCGACAAATGTTTGTCCGCCTACCTACATATTCGGGTTTTGTGATCTCAAAGGGTTTCCGTTCTCTGTCTTTTGTTATCCCGAGGCATCGGGACTTTTAGACGTAGCTGGCTCCTCAAATATTTTGTTTTCGCCGGAACAATGTATGCCCCCGATTCGACATGGACACGCGCATTCCTATCCGTCGCTGTCGTCCAAGCCCTGATCGCGTCGTCACTTGAAGCGTGAGTGAGATATACCCTCACGCCCCAAACCCCCGACTAACATGCTCCAGCTACGTCCTAATAGCCGTCGAGCGCTGCTTCGACCCCGCCGTAGTCCAAGTAGCCCGCGGCCACACAGTCCCCCTGTTCTTCGCCCTCTTTATCTTTGGCTTTGTCTATCAGCTCATCTTGGTGTACGACGCGCTGCGCTCGAGCAGCATGATCCAGGTCGTCGGCCTGTGTTTGTACAACCTCTGTCTGCTCGTCTACGCCATCTTTCAGCCCAAGGACATCAAAGACGCGCTTGATACGCTTGCGGGAAGCATAACATCGGATGGCAAGCCGCTGATAACGCCGGGGACGAATGCTTGGGGGGATTGTATGCCGGCGTTAGCGGCGCTGGCGCTGGTGGTGGCGGTGGCGACGGGTGTCTTCTGTTTTGCAGCGTGGAAGCTACGGTCCGAGTTTGCTTGGGTGGTTTATAAGGCTATTAATGCGGATCTGGCTATGAGAAAGCGTATTTTAATCTTACAGGTATGGCTCCCTTCCATGTCACACCAAGTTCTATTCGCTTTCTAATACATAACGATGGCCTACGCAACCAGTCTTACACGGCCTTTCTCAAGTTCGATCTGTTCTTCTTGCTGGGGTTCTTGCTCCAGAACATGATCAACGCTTCTGCCAACATGGGCAAACCCGAATTTGGATTGTCTATTGGCGCAATTCCCCTCGTTCTCCTGGTGATCTGGCTTGCGGTGGTCTGTGCCCAGAGTGAGTACACGGTCGGCACGCTTGTCATTATCGTAAGTCCACTGGATCCATGCCTTTTCACCAATCGCCATTGTTTGTATTCTTCCTTGTCTAACTCGAGCTTTCTCCAGCTTTGCCAGCTCGCGGCCGCGGGTTTTCTCTGCTACAAGCTTACGACCATCGACCATGAGCTTTACATGTTTAGGACCTTCGCCGCTATCACACTGATCATGACGCTTTGCGCCGCCGGAATGGCGGTGCTCTGTCTAGTCAATTTCGGTAAAGGAGTGAAGAATGTTACTGAGTCTCAGCTGAGACAAAAATCCACGCACAACTTACCAGATACGGACTATGCATCGCTATCATACTTGTACGGTTATGTACCGCGTAGGTCGCCGCTTGATGCTTAGACAAGTAGAGCAACTCTATATATTGTCGTGCCCTACTTATTCTAATTAATATATAATTATGAGAACTTGCCTTTGACATTGCGCTGATGATGGAGACCTTGTAAGTGCATATAATGATTTGAAGAAGCAAAAAAAAAAAAAAAAAAAAAAAAGGAACAGGCGTGTTGTTATATTCCAAAACGGCAAGGCACAGCTGGGGAAAGAAAAAGGAGAGACACACCGCAGTACAGCACCTGGGCTTTGCCGGTCGTCACCGACCCCACAGCTAGACTACATAAGCGACCGGTAAGACTGTTCGTCACAGGTGGAAGGATACCTGCTGTAAGTATGCACCGATTTCTTCAATTACGTGGTCCAGGTGTTGTATATCTTTTGCTATTTCTTGTAACTTTTCTGTCTCCCATTACGCCTTCCTTCGTGCCTTTCTTTCCTTCATCTCAATTCGTTTCCCCGCACTCTCTGTCCGTTGGGGGAAAAAAGACCCATTTTGAGCATCGCCATCCTCACATGGGATCCATCTTGTCACACCGCTAGATTTCACTTTGGCTCCATGCTTCGTTGTACTAGCTTCTTGGTATTGATACGGGAAACCTCTGGTTCCCTCTTAAGAGCCCCGTGCAGGTTCTAACAACCTTTGTGTCCAACTCATACTGGAGCTGGGCCGGGCCCTGAATTCCAGGCCTTGCCTCTTCGTCTCATCATGGATCATTACTTTAAAAATACAACAGATACAACGGGCTCTTCGTCCCATGACGCCCAGCATCTAGTAGTCGCCTTTTTTCCTTCTTTCCCGTCAGGTATATTACGATATTGTGTGTGTGTTTGTTTTTCCCCCCCTGAGTTGCTCATAATCCCGCTTCAGTGGCTCCCCTTGTGCACTTAAACACGCTCGTTATGAACAGACTCCTCAATTCCGTGCGGTTCGCTTTCGCTCTTCTTGGCAGGGCCATCTGAAGAGTCCATGTCGGCTAGAATGTCGCCATGCTGGCGATAAGCACGTTCCATGGCCCAGTGGAATGGGCTGTCCGTTGAAAAGAGGACGTCGATCGATTCCAATGAGCGGTTGGCCGTCTCCGGGTAAACTGTTGAGTGAATCAAGTTAGCGCGACTGGAGAGTCATAGGAGGAGATGGGAGAAAAGGGGTTGACATACAGAGGTACACAATGGGAATCCAAAGAAGGTTGAGTCCCGCAAAGAGGAAGTAGGTCCTGTTCTCGAGGTGTCTGAACATGATGGGGTTGACCAGCACGGTCCAACCAACACCAATAGCCCACCCCGTGATACCGAAGCCGTTGCCCTGGGCACGCATGTCCGAGGACCAGATCTCGGTAGGGATCAGGAACGCAACAGTACCCCAGGTTGCGGCGTAGCAGATGTTGAAGAGGAACAGCATGGTGACAGCAGCAGGAGCAAAGGATGAAGAGCGCTCCGGGTGTGCCCTCGCGCCTTCGTAGACACAGGCGGCAACAAGGTTGACAACGAACAAGGCAAATGATCCGCCCATGAGGCACTTGCGGCGACCAAGGCGGTCCACGATCTGGGCGCTGATGATGGTTCCAACAATACCGACGGTGCTAAGACCACCGGTCAGGCCGTTCTGGGTAAGACGGTCGTAACCCGCAGCTGAGAGAAGAACAGGGGCATAAGCCGTCACTGCTGTGATACCGGTCCATGAACCCATGATCTGCAAGAGCATGCACAACCACGCCCTGCGGCCAAGATGATGACCGGGCTTGCCGCCTTGTCCAGCTAGGATCTGGGCGAATTGAATGGGTGAGCTCTTCTGGCTTGACTTCGCAACAGCGGCAATCTCCTGGAACTCCATCTCGACAGCAGTAGCATCGTGGGTTCCTCGCACATGCTCCAGGACCTCTCTTGCGTCGTCGAGGCGGCCAACTGATGCTAGGTATCGAGGGCTGTCGGGCAGAAGCTTGATTCCGAGGACAAGGAGGATGGCAGGGAAGCACTGGAAAGCAAGCAGGAAGCGCCATTGAACGTCCGAGTTTCCGTTGTCGAGGAAGGACATGCCAAAGTAGATCCAGTACGCGACTGCGATGCCGAGATAGTTGGCGATGAAGACGTAGCCGAGGAAGCCGCCTCTGTGTGATGCTGTTGAGGTCTCGGAGACGAGAACGGGGGTGATGCCGGTAAGGGCGCCGGTGCCGAGACCGGTCACGACACGGGCCACGATCATGAAGTCGCTCGACTGAGTCGCCGCCTGCAGCACACCGCCGATGAGGGAGAGGACGGCTCCGATGAAAAGACTAATGTAATACCATCAAGAAGCATTAGCCATCAGATCACTTCTTCAAGACCATAGAAGGGGGCAGTGACTTCTAAGATGTAGTAGGTAGGTAGGTAGGTAGGTAGGTAAGGAGGTAGGAGCACATACCCGTTAATTCGTCCAATCCTGTCCGCAAGCCATCCTCCGGCAAAGCAGCCAAAGATACATCCGACGTAGTAGACTGATACAATACCACCCTGGTGAACTTCGTCCGTTACTGTGCCATCAGGCAAGCCGATACCAACCTCGGTAACATAACGTGGAGAGGCATTAACGCCGCCCATCACACCTTGATCATAACCTTCAAAGAAGATACTGATGAGGGAGAAGGTCTGGATGGCGATATTGAGCTGGGTAGGCGACAGCCTCTTCCAGAGAGTGGTATAACCCATGATGATGGTGATGGTGGTGCAACGATATTGCAAAACGTGGATGGATAGAGAAAAAACGTTGCTTATGGATATAATCCACACGATCGCGATTCGAACCAGTGGGTGGGCTATCGACGCTCCTTATGTATGAAACTCGCAAGAAAATTGCTTACTTAGGATACCCTACCTAAGTTACGATTCACGCCGTCGAGTGTCAACATCACACTCTGCCGGCACATACATACACACAACTTCCATGTTAGCGCGGTACCTCCACCTTACGACATTGAGGGGGTTGGACGTAAGCAAGTCTAGCAAGGCAAGCCATTTTTTTGTGAGGAAAACAAAGCTATCGCCACTTTTGGCATTCCCTGTGCTAACATTTTGAATGCCGAAGGAGGCGAAGACCCAAGAACCCGGCAGGATGGAAGGGCCCGGTTAGGTTGCATGATCCTAGTTCCCCAGATCAACGTCTCACGCTTCCCCGGTGGAGTCCCCGCATTTTCCAAGATTCCGGCCATCCCCAGAAACTGGGGAGAAGCCACTTTGTGGAGGTGTGGATGAAGAGTGTCTGGTGATCTTTTTCCGCTCTTTGTCGACTTGAGTCGTGAGAGGTTGCCAAGACCTCATACCCGCTTAACCGTCAGACCGTGTAGCCGCTTAAGCGTGCCCCGGCAGTGCTCTTCACCGCTTAACCGTTTGACCGTTCACCATGACTAGCAAAGTGTGTGATGTCGATGACCCGAAACCAAGGATCTTGGCGAACCTCGCGAATGGGGCCCCGGCTTGACCAAGGGATATGGGGTGTAAGTGGCCGGTTAAAAGGAAGGCTGAGATGGCCATATGCTCTGGCTGTCCGGATACGCGGCCTAGCGAATCATGCTGGACAGCTGACCTGACGTGAATTCATGCTCCTAATTGCCTCCCTAGAGAATTGAAATAGAAGAAGCTGCTCTTCGGTCGACTTTGACATTATCACTTGTTGAACATCATCATCAACAACAAAAAAACAACATCAACAATGGCGACAAATGGAGTCAACGGCCATGTTGCCGTCAATGGAGGCAGCCCTTCAAGCTCGCAACCGCTTGATCTCACCGTATTGGGAATGAACAGCGGCACATCGATGGTGAGTATTGACTACACTGAAACTCACTAGATGTCTATTGACCATGAAAACTAATGGTGATATCAGGATGGTATTGATTGTGCCTTGTGCCACTTCAGGCAAGAAACACCAGACTCACCCATGCACTTCTCCCTTCTCAAGTACGGAGAGGCTCCCATGGATCTTGACCTGAAGAAGCGTGTTCTGTCCATCATCAAGCACGATCGGACATCTGCTTCCGAACTCTCAGAGGTCAACGTCCACCTTGGCGAGACCTTTGCCGCTGCCGCCATCCAGTTCTGCAAGGAGAACGATGTGGACATCAAGAGTCTCGATGCCATCGGCTCCCATGGCCAGACGATCTGGCTGGCCAGCATGCCGGACGAGGGCATCCCCAGGTCTGCTCTGACCATGGCCGAGGGTACCTTCATGGCCTCGCGGACAGGAGTCACCACCGTGACCGACTTCCGTGTCTCCGACCAGGCCGCCGGCAGGCAGGGAGCGCCGCTGATTGCCTTCTTCGACGCTCTGCTGCTTCATCATCCTGGCAAGCTGCGGGCGTGCCAGAACATTGGTGGCATTGCCAACGTATGCTTCATCCCCCCAGAGGGCCCAGAGCACGCCTACGACTTCGACACCGGCCCGGGCAATGCTCTGATCGACGCTGTGGTTCGCCATTACACCAACGGAGAGCAGGAGTACGACAGAGACGGTGAAATGGGCAAGAGGGGAAAGATCAACCAGGACATGGTTGACCGATTCATGGAAAGGATACCCTACTTCAGCTGGGACCCGCCCAAGACAACCGGCCGTGAGGTCTTCCGCGATACTCTGGCCGACGACCTGATCAAGGAGGGTGCCGAGCTGGGTATGTCGGCGGATGACGTTGTGGCTACCGTCACCAGAATCACTTCCCAGGCCATCGTGGATCACTGGCGCCGCTATGCGCCCAAGGACCGCCCAGTTGACGAGGTCTTTATGTGCGGCGGTGGCGCATACAACCCTAACATTACCGACTACATGAAGGAGCAGTTCCCGCAGGTCAAGATGTTCATGCTGGATGCTGCCGGTATTCCGGGCGGTGCCAAGGAGGCGGTCACGTTCGCGTGGCAGGGTATGGAGGCTATTGTTGGACGAAGCATCCCCGTCCCAGACAGGGTCGAGACGCGCCGGCCGTATGTCCTTGGCAAAGTGAACCCGGGAGAGAACTACCGGACGGTGATGACGAAAGGCATGTTGTTCGGTGCGGGACGGGCAAAGCTGGATCACGTGAAGGAGATGGTGAACTATGTGGACGGTAAAGTCTTTAACAATAAGTGGTAAATGTTAATAGGAAACCCAAAAAAATAAGAAAAATCTTCTGGTTGTCAGGCATCTTTGTATTCCCCCCCTTGACACCCACTACACGCCTGTTGCCGGAAGCCGTTTCAATGAACATGCTCAGAAAGACAAATAGCTATTTGACATGGCAAACGGCCAAGTCCAGTCTTGCAGCAGCTCGTCAGGAAGTTGGAATTGGCCCGATAAATCTGGGAGTGCCGCTCCGTCCCAACTGCTACTCTTGTTGTTCGATGTGCCCTCTCGAAAAGCGGAAGCAGGGATATCCGCGGCCTGTTGTGTTTGGATAGCTCGCCCACCACCTCGGGAGACTATGTACTCTTCAATGCGCGCAACAAGACTTCGAAGCCTCTGCCCAGCGCCGCCACTTCGGTGAAGGCAAGCTTCCAGACTTTCCAGCAGCACGGCCATGGAGAGGAGCAGGTCCCGTACGACGCAGCATGAGCTTTCTGATAGCGGTCCTTCCATAACCGACCCCAGAATGGTGCCGATCCCGCCAATGTGGTATATCAAAGGCGCGCTAATTGCTCTCAGGTGTGGTTTGGGTACTTGGTGGAACGTCGCCAATATGTCACTTACGACGGAGCACTTCCTTTCCGCATCAGGATCAGACTCGAGAGAAAGGGAGATCATCTTCAGGAGAGCCATGGTCGCTTGGATGTTGGCGGCTTGAAATCCATAGACATCTTGATCTGGATCGCCAGTAGCCGGTTGGAGTTGCTTGAAAATGGGCGGCAAGGCCAAGTACAGCTCGTTGACGCGATCCTGGCTGGACACGTTGAGGGTTGGAGTCGATACAGATTCCCCTGCCACCAAGTGGAATCTTGACGACCGAGTTCGCAACCTGCTCAAGTTATGCTCCAAGATACGGTATAGATCCGTGGTAAAGTTCCACCCGACTATCCAATGTGCTCTCTCCAAAGGCGCGCTTCCAGCTTCGTTACAGTTCCTGCCAGTAGGATACGCGACTTTCGCATGGCTTTCTTGAAAATGGATGCAGCCATCCCAGACGATGGACGAGTAGATATCGAGCGTGTAGAACGACCAATACTACATCGGTCAGTATAGAGAATACGACAGAGAGTGAAGCAGTTAGGAAGCGCTCCGCGGCGCAGTGCACATACCAATCTACGACGCTCTTCCCTCTCCGTGGGATGCAATCCAGTCGGCCAGTTGGATTCGTCGTGCCACTGGTTGATGGCAAGCATGGTGAAATAGTGGCCGATGTACATCTGCATCGCTCCGATCCTGGCGTCTTGAAGACTTGCGAGCGCCAACAGCGCAATGCCTCTAAGGTAGTCAAAGTCCTGAGATTGAAGAAGGTCTTTGGGAAGTGCTTCTTCTGCGGCGGCAAAGAACATTTGTGCTGGTATTATTCCCAACACATCCTGGCCACCACTTGGCGCACCGTCCCTTACTCGAGCTGAAGCAAGCGCACAAGCCGCCATCACAGAACAGAAGAATGCACGGCTGCGACAATGTTCCAGCATTTCAAGCCTCTGATCGAGCCTGACGGGGTCAAAATAGGGAAAGCTAGACTCGCGCATATCAGAAAAGGTATTCATACTTTTTTTTTTTTCTTTTTTTACAACGCGACGTCAGACAAGGGGGGATGGGACTCACATTGGGTAAACGGTCTTGTGGTAGACAGAGAGCAGCTTCTTGATGGCTGAGGTGGAAGTTCGGGCAAAGCCTTGCCATGCTGGGCTCAGAGGCTCACTCCGACGCTCACTTGTAGCGGAACTGCTTGCGTCGGCCAAGTCTAGAGGCTGGTCATCGCCGACCTGGGGTGGCTGAGTAGTAGATGGAAGCGCAACAAGCTCTTCAGGATGAACCCGTCGAGCGTTGCTGGCGATATTTTGGCCAGCATCTGGACGATCACCTGGTCCTGCCGCGTTCTTTGGAGAGCCTCGGCCGCGCCTCAAGGGCCGGAGATAGGTGCATGAGATGTCGAATTCGACACAGTTTTGACAACGACTCGGGTCTAGCAGATTCTCCTGGCATTTGATCCGGCGTTTATGGCAAAAATCACCTGAGAATACGTCAGCTGGATTGCGCAAATCTCCTTGTCCGTCTCAGTCTGCCAGCTGCCTTACATGCCCTCGAATTTCGCAGCAGTCGGCGGGGTCTAGGAGGTGCTGGCATCTGATTGAGGTCGGAGGCCCGGATTCCTACTGTACAAGCATGGTAGATATCGCGATAGATGATAACGAGCAAACATACATTATCGACCCCAAACAGGCAGGGCCTTGTGATGATATGATTGCTGTGTTGTGCTTCCAAGACTTTACGTAATCAAAAACAGTGCTTGGTCACTTGTAGGTCGGTCTAGAACCTGCCGATCCAGGGGGCGCGAGCGCTGTACAATCGCACTCTGGGAAATCCCACTTTCCCATAACAACCTATCAATGTTCGGAGGTCGACTTTCCAAACTTCGATCCCTCGCATCTGATTCCATCTTCAGCAACCCGATGATCGTCTTCCCTTTGGACCGAGCCAAGCCCAAAATAAGACAGTGAGTAGGCGTCCACGAATCCACATCTCCAGAAAGCCCACTTTTTCCGGCCCCTATTCCTGTTCCCGCGGCCGATCAAGTACACTATAGTGCGGTGTATGCAGTCCAATACCGATTTGATTGTTAGCTCGAGACTATGGGGCAACTTCCCTAAGCGTTTTCATGCGGTGAATATGCTTTTCCTAAAATAAAAGCAAACTATATTGGATCTTGTCACAACATGGACGCTTCAATAAAGTAAAAATTGGGGGAGCAGACTATGGAAAAACAGCCAGACAGGTACTAGCCAACCTCCTCAAGGGGTAGAGGTGTAAAAAGCGCCCTCATACCTCTACCGCCATCTCCTTCAACACCCCCTCCAAGTCCTCTCCCTCTCCACTAAACCTGACCATCTCCCAAAACACACCCTTATCCTTATACAACTCCCCTGGCGAACCCACCTCCATCACTCTCCCTCCGCCCATCACCACAACCATGTCATAATCAATGATCGTCCTCAACCGATGCGCGATTGTCACCAGCGTCCTTGTTTTCTCCTCCCCGGCGTCGAGTTCCTGTCGCAGCGCCACTTGGATCCCCCTGTCAGTCTCGTAGTCCATGCTTGCCGTCGCCTCGTCAAGCAGCATCAGCTTGGACTTGCGGACTAGGGCCCGGCATAGAGAGAGAACTTGGCGCTGGCCGTGCGAGAAGTTCTCGCCTTTGGCTAGGACGCGCGTGTCGAGGGAGAGAGCGCCCCGGGTAGAGATGGAACCGGAGCCAGAGCCATTTGTGGGTGAGGAGGAGGAAGGGGAAGAAGAGAGAAGGGGGGTGCGTTCGGTTGGTACCATCGAGTCGTTGCTGTCAACTGTCTCAGCCCCATTGATACTGTTGTCACTGCTGCTCTCGCGAAAGTCAAAGGACGCAATGCCGGTGCACGACCTGAGCGCCTTCTCCAATATCTGAACGGGCACGGTGCCGGATGGGTCGAGGTTCGTTCTGATGGTGCCGTTGAAAAGAGTAGCTTCTTGGGGAATGATGGTCAATGCCTGCCGAAGTCTCTTGCGTGAGATTCTCGTGATGTCGACGCCATCGTAGAGGATCTGCCCGGAGACGATGTGGGTGAAGCACAGGAGGGAGAGGACGAGCTAGAGAATGGGATCAAACACGTTAGCCTAGCTGTTTTTTCCTCAGGAAATTGTAGGTGTAGAAATGGCGCCTTACTGTGCTCTTCCCTGAACCTGTACGTCCAACAACGGCAATCCGTTGTCCAGCCTTGAATTTAAGACTGATGTCCTTCAGGATGTCAGGGCCGTCAGGGTCGTATCTGACCGTAACGTTACGGAACTCGATCGCGCCTGTCCTTGGCCAATCCTCAGGAACTTCAAGCAAAGAAGAGTCTTCATGGCCTTGGCTATCGGTATCGGGTTGACGCAAGCCGTGTTTTTCGTCTTCGGCAGGAAGCTTGACGTATTCCTCAACGCGATGGAACTGTCTTGGGATTAGCTCAGGCCCATCAAGATGCTTGTGACCAAGGGAGAAAGCAGCAACAACAAAACTTACACTCTGCAGCTCAACCTCCATATCATTCATAAACCTCACAAAGTACAAAATCTGCGAATTCAGGCCCGTCGCATTGCTCAGCGAAAAGCCCACCAATCCAGCCTCCACAACACCGACCTTCCACACTGCAATCGCACCAGCAGAGACAGTGACCAGCGCTGCGACAAAGTCAATCCGAACACCGACCCACCGATTCAGGTTAAATGAAGTTTCCTGAAACCGCGAGAAAGACCTTAACCGGTCCGCCAACTGATAACGGAACATCTCGGGCATGTTTCGTCTGGCACGGATCACCGCTAGACCAGACATGCTGCCACTAAACTGGGAGAAGACGGGGCTCTGACTGGATGAGACCAACCGCTTAAGGACGACAGCTGTTCGGATGTACATCTCGCCGCAAATGATACCTATTCCGACCGTGCAAAGGGCAGGGAGCATGAAGATAGGCATGATGGAGCTGACGGCACCAAGACGAAAGAGAATGGCCATGCCAGCGTCGATGAAATATTGGACGGCTGAGCTTAGTTGACTGTCCCTGTTGGTTATGAAAATGATTGGTTAGCCTTGGGTTTCGAAATATGAAGTGCCAGCAAGCATCTGGAGCGTAGAGAAATCAAGCAAAAGTCTGATACTCACAATGACCCAACATCTCGGCTGAACCGATTAACAACCCGACCCACTGGTACGTTCTTCCACCAGCCCAGGGAGACATTCAATACTCCCTCTGTGAGTCCCCTGTGTAACTTGCGTGCGGCCAACCATGCACCTCGGTTGAATATCAGAGAGCTGATTCCGCTTAGCAAGGCCTGGCCAAAGTTGAACGCAGCGTAGATGGTGATGTAAAAGGCAACATTCACAGCCTCTTTCTTGTTGTAGGCATTGACCCAAACTGAGAGCCACCAGGTCGTTCCAAGAAGAACAGCATTGGCAATGACGTTACTGGCGAGGGCTAGAATAACGTAACCAGGGCCACCAAAGTGAAGCATGTACCTGAGAACTATACGCATGGAGAGTTGTCAGCTCTGACCTCGGCGCAGGAGGAAGACATACATAATTGAAAAAAAAAAAAAAAAAAAAAAAAAAAAAAAAAAAAAAAAAAAAAAAAAAAAAGGGTTCAGAGCATGAGTCTTACAAGTAAACCGTCCTGATGTTCCGCTGGCACTCATCTCATTGGATATTTCGTCTTTCATCTTCTTGGGAGAGCCTGCCCGGTTTCCGCCTGGTACAAGTGGGATCTTTAGGGTGGTCGTACTCTCTTGAGAGTCCTCATTGTTGGTGGTTCCGTACTCCAGTTCCACAGGTGTGCGGACAACACCAACGTTCCTTTCAATGTTCTTGACTGTTCCGGCTTCCATTGTGATTGCGAGATCGGCTTGGGAAGCTAGCCAAGGCATTTGAGTTACCAGAACGATGGTCCTACCCTTGAGCATATCACTGCAGAAGGAATGCTTCCACAGAGACGCAGCCGTCTTGGCGTCGAGGGCAGAGAAGATGTCATCCAGCAGCAGCAATGGGGCCTTGGAATAGAGAGCTCGAGCAACTGCCACTCTCGATTTTTGCCCACCGGAAAGGGCGGTGCCATTCTCCCCAACCTCAGTCAAGTCTCCTTTAGGAAGCTCTTCAAAGTCCAAGCCCAAGCAGCATGCCTCAATAACCCTGTCATATTTGACCTGCTCAAAAGGAGCGTGGAATAGGATGTTGTCGCGTATTGTCTCGCTCTGAAGCCACGGTGTCTGGGAGGCAAAAGCGACGTCGCTGGGCCTGGTCACCATTCCTTTTTCGAGGGTGGTCTCTCCCAAGATTGACAACAAAAGGCTCGTCTTCCCACTCCCGCTCTGACCTTTGATTATGTTAAGGCCGCCCTCTACAAAGTTGATGGAGATATCTTTTAGCAAAAAAGGTGCCCTCTTGCTTCGCCGGAAAGTCGCATTCTCTATGTGCAAGGGACCTTCTGAAAACTGGGTTAGCGGTGTTGTATTTGCGTAGAACTTGTCCAAACGCTCAATCGAGACATGTGCGTCAGTAAGGTTTCGTGACATCTGGGATACATATCCTATATTCCGCCGCAGGGTCATGACCACGGACAAAGTGGTGAATGCGATAGGAGCAGTGAGAGGCTGCTTGATCACCCCTATGTACAGGCTGAAGATGAGCAGTAAGGTGACGACGGGGATTAGCTCGCCACACTGTCCAAGAAGAGCGTACCATAGGCAGATGTGCCAAAGTTCCTTTTGCTCCTTCTCACGCGCTTCCTGGATGCGTTTGATGATGGCATCCTCCCAGGAGAAGTACTTGATGGCTTTGATGGCTTCGAGGTACTCAGAGATGAGAGATATGCGTAAGTCCTGTGCCAACTTGACCTTGCGCTGCGTCTTGCCCATCATACGGGAAATCCAGACTGGGAAGGACATTGAGAGCACCAAGAAGGCGAGACCAACCAGACTCGTCCATCCGACCATCTTATAAAGGCCGATGATGCTGACAACAATGCCTACGGGCACCCCGACAAGGCCAATGATGGCATCTCGAGCCTTGAACACGGCATCAACATCACTTGCCATCAGATTGGCCAATCTTCCTGCCGACGTGGTTTGCGTTCTTTGCTCTTTGGCACCCCTTGTGGCAATGTCATTGATAACATCATCTTCAAGTTCCATACTCGATAAGGCCCTGTGGTACAGCTCTTGGGTCATGGCTGACTTGAGGCGGACGACAAGTCTGGTTGACGTGAAGACGTACTGCTGCATGGTGATAGACTTTCCCATAAGACCCATAAAGAGCAGTGCCAGCCAAATGATGGGATGTAGCACAGCATCATGGGGAGACGATATGTAGTTTAGGATCTGGTACATGGCAAAAGGGGCGACAAGTTCGATGGCGAATGAGGAACCGACCCACAAAGACATGGCAACAATTTCGCTGCGCTGGAAGGAGAGAACTGTCCACATGGTTGTTTTGTATCTCTCCCGGACCTTGAGAATTCTGTCAAGAAGGAGTGAGGGTTCGTCATACCAAGGAAGTCCTGGAATGTCATCCATATCGACTTGGGTGCGCCAACCTTTCCAGATCAGCGGAGTCAGCCAGCCAAAGCTGAAGTAGCGGACGAACCAACTACTTGTTTCTTCAGGAGTAGGCTGTGCCTCGGAGATGTGTTTGTACACGGCCATGTTTTCGGTGGCAGGCGGAGGTCCCCATTCTCTCGGAGTCATGAGCGCAATGAGCGATGCGAATGCTAGACTTCCGATAGCCCCAATCTCCGCCTTTTCAACCTCCTCGTCCGACCTCATCCTGAGGGAGGGGAGAAGATAGGCTGTAGCCAAGGTAACCAGGGAGATGAAGAGGAGGAAGTTGATTTGATGCAAGCTCACGCGCTGCCATTTTGGCGTGGCTAGCAAACGGACAAGACCCAGGAAAAAGGCCAGGCCGACAGGAAGGGCATCGTACCAGTACTGATAGTAGTGGTACCCGCTGATAAGGGTGAAGGTGAAGGCAGCCCCACGTAAGAGTTGAGAAAGAAGCTCATAAGGCAGACTGAATCGGACGGCCTTGGTGGTTTCTGGGATGTTGAAGTAGGAACTGTAGCGGCAGGTGGTCTCTATTGCTGTCCAAACAAGGACGAAGGCAACAAGACAAACCTGGATGACGCCCGACTTGGCGATACGCGAGGCCTCGAGGATCCAGCCAGCATCCGGACTTCTAACCATGTCATTAGCGGATGATACATGCATTGTCTATGAGAGCAGTTTGTATGGACTTGCCTCTGTATAGAGAGGTCAATTGGCGCGTGAAACTGATCATGGTATATGTCGCGACCTGGGATGCCTAATGGGGCCCAGTAACGAAAAGCCCAATCCATGGTGTTGAGGTCAAATCTTGCTCACTGTGTACTATAGACAAGCTGAGCGATCGCTGGACATGGCATTGTCGTTGGCACCGGCTCTCTTTTTGAGCCACGCCCTGAAAGCAAAAGTTTGACAATGGCGTACATTTCCATCATGCGGCTGACTGTGCTGTGAGTGGCTGGTCGGTGCCTGGCCGAACGTCGAGTCGCATCCGGAGATTTGGCGGATATAACATCCATATCAGAGCGTGGGTGGAACGGAGGTTGAGGATGTGATGAACGGCTTCATTGCCGGGAAGGCCCGGAAACGCGAACTGGAAGGTAGATAAGCTCGGGCCTAACCGGGTTGTGTTAGGTGGGTGGGTCAAATGGCATATGTACATGCCCGACCCACCTTCCTCCTCCCATCTCATATCGTTATCATGTTGCAGCTTCCACTCTGCTAGGTATAGCAGGACCATCATTGATAACAGGAATAACCGGTCATTGATTCTCGACAAGGTTTTGTCAAGGAAACAAGCCACAAGTGGTTAAATGAGAAAACTTGACCCGCCACATCACCTTTGCCCTTCCCTGAACCCATAGGTGCAAAATTCACATGACTGTAGAGTTATTGCATGATTTGGACTCGAGCCTTGGTCAGACATGGGCAGCGGCTTGATGGCCACTGAGTGATCATCACGAGCAAGTGTTTCCATCGTAGCACAACATACCAAGTTGAAATCGACTTCATTCAACTTCCTTCCTTAGAGGCGGGTAGCCTCGCGTTCTGATGCTGTGGGAACCGCTTGCCTTTCATTATACCTGGTTTGGATGGAGTCGATACCATGGCATGTAAAAAGACTTTGACTGCAAGGGAAGGAGCGCAAGAGATGATAGGAACTCTTACCCTCTGGGCATTTGCAACAATGAGACCATCGAGTATCATTACGCTTTCCTTTGCTCTTGCTCTCCATTCAAAGGGAATTCATGGTACATAATCAGAGTCTGATGATATCCCATACCAACAACTTCGTGATCTTTTTCCCTTACAAACATCAACAGCAATGTGTTTGCTATCCCTTCCTTACTTGACTTCCTATTCTTTTCAAGTCAGCACCTATCAATATCCTAGACTCACGTTACGAGACCTTACCTACCTGTGAGACCTCCCGATTGCCGCGGTGTATTCAACACGATACGCTGTGTTCCCTGGACCGGCATTTATCAACCGTCATCAGGCATCGTTCCTGCTCAAGACTTACGTTAATCTTTCTGCGCCCTCTTCTTCGGTGACACGTCCCAAGCTAGCACATATAGCCCGTTTGTCCTCGTCCCGGACCATCCTCTCTCTTCTTTCAAACTTTTGGTCCACCACCCCGACTGTTTTTGGTGATTCTTGGACTCGTTCCTTCAACTTTGAGCCTCGCTTTTGTCGACGGTTGTGGCCCATTCGCGACTCAGCCAGCCTCAACATCGATACCTCCTTTTTGAAAGTTGACAGCAAAATTACAGCCATAACCCGCCGCGATGTATCAACTCTCGCAACTCGTAGCTTTAGCTGCCACCCTGTCAACAGTGATGGGCGCCTACCAGGGTTTCAACTATGGCTCTTCGTTCACCAATGGCGCTGCCAAGCAACAGCCTGACTTCGAAGCCGAGTTTCGAACAGCCCAAGGTCTCGTCGGTGCTCCTGCTGGAGGCTTCACCAGTGCACGACTATACACAATGATTGTTAGTTCAGCTCCCCACCCTTCCTCGCCTCATTCCTTGTGTACCTGGCCTAAAGACCCTGACCATGAAACTCGTTCAATAGCAAGGGGGTACGGTGAATGCTCCCATCTCGGCTATCCCAGCTGCGATTGCTACCCGAACATCGCTGCTTCTTGGTCTATGGGCTTCTGCTGGTGATGCTGCGTTCACCAACGAGCTTCAAGCCCTCAGCTCTGCCATTCAGCAGTACGGAACTGCCCTTGGCAGATTAGTGGCTGGCATTTCGGTGGGCAGCGAGGATCTGTATCGCATCTCGCCTACCGGCATTGAGAATAAGGAGAACCCCGGAGCCGCACCTCTCACGATTGCCCATTATATCAAGCAAGTCCGTGACATTATTGCCCACACAGCTCTTGATGGTGTCCCGGTAGGCCACGTTGATACCTGGACCGCCTGGGTCAACAGCTCCAACCAAGTGGTGGTGGATGCTTCGGACTTTCTCGGCTTCGATGGCTACCCTTATTTCCAGAAAACGCAACAGAACGACATCGGCCATAGCAAGTCCCTTTTTGATGACGCTCTGAGCGCTACCAAGGCTGCATCCCAAGGCAAGCCGGTGTGGATTACGGAAACGGGCTTCCCTCTTAGCGGCAAAACCATGGGCCAAGCCGTCCCTAGCATCGCCAATGCCAAATATTACTGGGACCAGGTTGGCTGCCCTCTGTTTGGCAGCACCAATGTTTGGTGGTACACGATGCAAGACTCTGCCCCGGCGACTCCAAATCCCAGTTTTGGTCTGATTGGTAGCACATTGACGACGACTCCTCTCTTTGACCTCTCTTGTAACAGTAGCAAGCTGAGCCAGTAAGTGACATGACTGATGAAAAGACTCAAGTTCTGCAAGTGTACTGACACTTGCTAGAACCACTTCTTCTTCGATCAGTCTCGCTTCTGGAGTTAGCATTGCTTTGTCACAATCGGAGATCTCGACGGTGTCAAGCGCCATTACATTTCTCGCCCCCGTTTCCAGTCTTGCTTCAAACGGTTCATTGACTGTGGCTAGCTTGCCATCAGGTACTAGCACAGCTGCGAGTAGTGGAAAGGCAAGCTCCATCAAGGGGTCGATGGGGGATGCGATTGCTGTTGTAATGTTGGCGATGGCTCTTTTTGGTCCGTGATCTGCACTTTGCTGGGTTTCTCCTTTGCTCTCGTATGTTATGGGCAGTATACACATTGCAGCGTGGTGCTGGTCTACACCCAGGTTAGTGGTTTGCGAATTGGTAGAGTCCTTAGGTTTGTTCACGTGGTAAATGAGGGGGAGGAAGCAGCAGGTCTTTAGTCTATAGAGCTGCTACTCGGGGTCTAATGAGGCTGTAAGACACAGGCTTTTGGAGTATTTTTGGTTAGTACAGAACAACCCAGGGGCAGTTTAGATACCTTATGCTTATCTTTCAAGGTTTACCTAGCTCGCCTAGGTACCGTACCCCATCTCGAATGCTGATTCATGTCGGCCATGGTGTTGCTTTGTTGCTTTGTTCTTGTGGTGCCCCACCATTGAGAGCTTTGCTGGCCGGGAGCTTCAGCAGGCATTGATGTTGAAGTGCCAATACCTTAGAGGTATTCTGTGTTCAAGAAGAGTTGAGTTAGGTAGTAAGTAGGTAGAACAGTACCCGACCTAGAGGTACCTACTTACTAGAGAAGGATCTGTCGCTCGGGAAATTCCCGCTTCAATCCGGACCCCACGGCAAGGAATGTGGCACACGACACTCGACAGGGCACTCAGCGCTTGCGTCAGCGCTATGTAACCCACAGTGGACCTGTGTCGGCGGTCATCAGCCCTAAAAACGGGGTTGCGTAGCATTCAGACGAGAAGGAGAAGTGATTTTGCGGGGTCGTGTCTTGTCGCCCGGGCGTGAGGTGTTGGGTTTTTCATCGACCCCCGGCCGGGCCCTGGCTCTCTTTACCTATGTAACCGAGTACACGCACTGTTTTGACTGTGCCCCGTCCTCGCTGTTGGCGCCGCCGCCGGCCGGACGAGGAAACAATAAGAGATGAACAGCTCAGCTTGATCCCCACTCTCTCCCTTGGGCTCCAGCTGTCTACCATACCTGTCGGCATTATGTATATGATGTCTTGCTGAAGCCCGTCTCCTCCTCCTCCTTCTTTTCTCCTTCCCCCTTTTCTTTTCCTCTTCCCTTCCTCCGACTACCTTTTTGGCTATCTCTGTTGTAGTTGCCTTTGGAAGGAAGTTGTCGTGTTTTGCTTTTCTCGGTTTCAATTGGCGGTATTCCTGAGCGCGCTTCAATTCCCAATTGCAATCCCCTCCATCCATCATGGCGGTGGGCATATCGCGGGCCAAGTGCCTGATGATGCTCTTCGCGTTGGCCTCCATTGCTGTCCTCCAAGTTTATGCGCGTGGTACGCACGAGACGTACGGGACGGAAAGGAAAGCGAGTCCTTCGGACATGAGCTTGGAGGAGCTGGATGGGTTGTTGCAGGTTCGTTCACCTTCTCCGCCCTCCCCCCACTCATCTGCCTCTAGGTCATGATGTCGCCGACGACCCAACCGCTAACCCGTGGCACGCTTCTTCAAACATAGGATTGCCCAGTAGTCCAAGCCCTCTCCGCCGAAAAGGTCATCGCGCACGCGCACCAGTCCTCCTCCGCCACCGAGCGCCTCTTCGCCATCCTCTTCCCCGGCTCCCCCGCCGTCAACGCCATCCTCGCGACCCTGTACATCTCGGGCCCGCCTAACTTTCTACTGGCGCTGTGCCCGACCAACATCGACCCGTCTTCGCTGTCCGTCATGGTTGCCTTTGCCGTGGGCGGCCTGCTGGGCGATACCCTGTTCCATCTGCTTCCCGAGATCTTCATTGGCGAGGATAGCCACGAGAGCGCCAAGTTTGTGCTGGTCGAACCAAACAGGAACTTACTGCTGGGCCTTGCGATCCTGGTCGGGTTCATGACGTTTGTGGCTATGGATAAGGGCTTGAGGATCGCCACGGGCGGGGAAGGTGGGCATGATCATTCTCATGGACATTCCCATGGCGGTCATTCGCATGAGCACGGCGCGGCGACTGGTGTTGACGTGGCCAAGAAGGGCGATGCAAAGAACAGGAAGGGTGAGAAGAACGAGCTGAAGAAGAAGGATGTGGACGCTCAAGAGGAGGATGACAAGAAGGAGGTTAACCCCTCTGCGAAGCTGGGCGGCTATTTGAACTTGATGTATGCACCACCACACCACCACCGCCACCCCTTTCCACAACACACGTTAAAGATCACGAGGAAGCTAACCGCATACCTGACAGCGCCGACTTCACCCACAATATCACCGACGGCCTCGCCATGTCCGCCTCCTTTTACGCCTCTCCCACCATCGGCGCAACCACCACCGTGGCCGTCTTCTTCCACGAGATTCCCCACGAGGTCGGCGACTTTGCCCTGCTCGTCCAGTCCGGCTTCTCCAAGCGCCAGGCCATGGGCGCCCAGTTCGTCACAGCCATCGGCGCCATGCTCGGCACTCTTATTGGTATCGCCGTGCAGGAATTCGGTGGTAGCAGCGGCTCCAACGAGGCGGCAATGGGCATGAAGGAGGGTATTTGGGGAACCAGCTTAACCTGGGGCGACATGCTTTTGCCGTTCACGGCCGGTACGTTCCTGTATGTGGGCACGGTGGCGGTCATTCCGGAGTTGTTGGAGACGGGCAAGGATAAGGCCAAGGAGTTGAAGAAGACACTGGTGCAGTTCGCGGCTATTGCGGTGGGGGCGGGGATTATGCTGTATATCTCGTGGCATGATTGAGGGCGTTGGGGATAGACCATTAAGGGTTTGTTACTTTTGGTAGGGTTAAGTCAGGGGGTTGTCGTTATGGGTCAGATGTTTCGAGAACTGTCCACCATTGTTTTTAGAGATATGTGGGTATGGTGTACTTGTGAACGGTTATCAACGGCTGGAAAAGACTTATCGGACATGTTGAACTACATGAAGCCCGCAGGGTCAAAGGCTTCGTGATTACCTCTGGTAATGGTAATGGTAATAGACATTATCACAACCTCAACTCGGTGTTGACGAACCTACAAGGTCATGGTCCCAGTTACAGTGGAAACGATCACAGTCACCAAGCACACATCTACGTTCCAAGCCAAGTACTGCTTGGTCAAGCAATGTCGTCAGCCCCTAGAGACAGGCATAAGCACCGGGAAAAGAGTGAAAACTCCGCGCTACAAGCAATCATGGTGCCAGAGCATCATGGTATGACTCTTTCGGTCAGGTATGAGCCGCGGGCCATGTGCTACATGATTTCAGGCTAGACGTTGCTTCACCGTTAAAAGCAACTGGGCTGTTTTCACAACCGAGTCCAAGACCCCATCCAGGATGCCGTGAGCCGGAAACCCAATGCTCGAAAGCAAAAGCTGCATTAATAATCGGGAAAGGGATCCCTGACGTTGAATCTTTTGAACAATAACTTTAGGTAATAGCATTGTCTAAATCCCATGCTGAGTGGCCAGGGTAGCTGTCAGTGTGGTTAGCACGTAGCCTCGGTAGGTAGGTAGGTAGGTAGTGACCCATCCACTTGGGTCTCAACGGGGTCTGTGACGCGTGGCTAGCGAGTACCCTACATGCATACCAGCCCGGGCTAGGGTGTGTTAAGCGACTTGTCAATATTTTTTTGGATTTGCTGGGGTCGAAGGGCGTGCGATCTTCATGTTGCCCAAGGGAAGAAGGCTTGATCAGTAAACAACTGGCCAACTGATCAACCAGCTATTGGTACGGAGAAAGATCACGCTCGTGTTGAGTAATCTAGCGCCATCCGCTAGAGAGTTGACGATGGTGATATGCGGAAAGAATACTTCAGTTGCTTTGTAATGAAGCTGTGATTTGGGCCAGGGCTATTATGTCATGACGAGGGAAGGGCGTAGGGCGTCTTTCTCCTGCGTTAAGAATCTCAAGTTCAAGTTGGAATGAGTCGTTCGTCTGTCGTCTACAGTATTCTCATAAACGGATTTGGAAGGAGATATAGATCCAAGTGGAAACGGCCGACTACTAGTTCCTCCTAGTTTCCCTCAGCTCCGAGTCATTCTGCCCCTGTTCCTACCTACCTTTTCACACTTTTGCATTTCCACTACTGAGGTCACTGTTACCCAAATTTCTTAGCTTGAAAATTCGCCGATGACTCTTCTGTTTCAAAACTTGCATGTACTGTATGCATTACACTGTACCACAGCATGCAAGTTGTCCCGTCCTGTCCTGTCCTGTCCGGTCCGTCGTTGTACTCATGCCCGTGTAACGAGCCGCCCCCTTGCAGTTCACCGGTAGATGGACACTCGCAAATGCAAGCTGAGACGTGTCTCGCGCGAGATGGGAGATTCACTCTGCTTACTTCTACGTAACTTCAGACACGACTTATTTGGTGTTTACGGGAAGGGAATGATTGCTGACTGCATACGACACTCCCAAAGGGTTGGAGATTCGGTTATTTTGAGTTTCGTTTATTCCCCCAGACATCTGGAGAGTCAAAACTGTATTCGACAACTTATGACCGACTTTCGACCGAAGGAGAGCCGATGACAAGCAACGCTACTTGGAAAGACTATCATAGACAACCTTTTCAGTGGACCCGGATACCCAACCGAAGTATGGGTCACGACGGTCTGGTTGCGGAAGGGGACCTTTTTGCGGGCATGCGGGGCACAAGGCGAGAATGGAGGTTCGGCTAGAGGGTGCTTGTGGTGAGTAGTCTAGTGCGACGATCGAATCCACGTTCTCTCTTGTTGCCCATGGGGTTGTGAATGGCTGCTAGGTAGGGCCTTGATGATGATGATGACCAATTGACCAACCACATCATTGAAGGTTATCTCAAGGAGATCAGCTTCACAATTCAATATGCTAAGCCTAGGTAACCAAGCTGAGCCAAGATCCCCAGCCCATACTCCAAATAGAAGATACCATGAACGAATTCGAACTCGCCGTGGAAGAACCCGGATGACTAAAAAGTTTCATGAATATTCTTTGTCGTGAAGTGGTGACTGTTTTGGTATGATATACTTCTTAGGACGGCCCACACCACGCCTTGTCGTCGACAAGTGGAGAAGACGAACCTCCGTTAACGGCGGTGGGTTGGTGTCATTCGTCGATCAAACCAAGATTGGGCTAACGAGAATAGTGTTAGCGTTGCGCGAGCGGCCTGTAAGCAACTTTTGACGTTTCTTCACTCCTTGAATGATGCTTTCCATAGCAGAGATGCTTGGAAATCATCCAGCAAGAGTAGTAGAGATGGAAGGTTGAAGACCAAACCTAAATCATCGAGCGTGTTCGTACCAGTGATTAGAGGTACCGGAACCCATTCAAACATCTACAACGAGAAAAACGAGAAAAAAAAGAAAAAAGCAGAGACAAAGGGTACCACGAGGACAAGTGGTTGTCCACTTGAACAACTTGGCGCATCTTCTATCACAGCTTGGCCTCCAAGCCACCTTTTGCTTCCTTTCTCATTGTGTCTCACAACGACTGTCGTCTGGGGCTAGAACACCAGAGGTAAAAGTACCCGACCAGGCTGTGTCCCGCGGTCCCTAACGCTGTGGGAGGTTACATTGAGTGGTGAGTGTTCGATGTTCCCAGGCCAAGAGCAGCCAAGAACACCCCGCCTCTGCCACGATAATGGGGTCAATGGCGGATTATGGTCCATGTCGTGGTGACGCTGTCTTAATAGAGCCACACTCCGCTATTTCCCCTACACCCACAACCATCAGAAGAACACACTTCCATTTCAATCTTCGTTCAAGTAAATGCATAGCAATACATGACCCATGGACCAGCCACCTTGGCGACCCCTTGACCGGACAGGGTCGATGAGGCGTCAGTCAGCTTTCGAGACGCGGATGCAGAAGGGGGGGAAGCTCCAAAGAGCTGCCATAAGCGAGTCTCTTAAGCCACCAGGTCTCGGCGAGGACCTTAATGGTTAGGCTCAGAAGTAAGAAGTCTTGCACAATACCTATGCTACCACATGGCAATGGCTCTTTACTATGACTGGCTTTGTAAGTGACTCAGAAAATTGTTGTCTCTTCTAGGAATAGTCCCAACCAGCCGCATGGCAACCCTTCTATCATGTCTGATGCCATTATACACAGAATAGGTAAGCGGTCACACCTACCCCATGGTCAATCATGGATACCCCTTGGCGGTGGGCATGCAGCTGTGTACCGTGTAGTGTGTGCCAAACAGGAGGGAAGATTCCCTACCGTTTCTGCGGTAGGTATAAGGGAAGGGATGATCCTCGCCCTTTGTGCTACATTCTGGTTGGATAATCTACTTGGCGGCATCATTTATAACTCCTCAACCCCCTCCACGTCTCCCAGAACATCACCAGTTCGAGATCAGAACATCCACCTTACACACTTCGTCCCCGTACTTGGCTATTTCGACTAGCTACCGACCCATATTGGATCTATACTTCGCAACTACTCCAGTATCTCTTCAGACTCTTGCCACCTTACTGGCTTGTTCAGTCACGACCAACCGCAATGGTTCACAGGCAGGCCTTTGTGGCCGGTATCATCTCATCGGGCGCCTCCTCTCCTAGTGAACTCAGCAGCGAGCTAGTACTAGGAACGAATACCGCCAACAAACCAGCTCCTTACCAGAGGTCCAACATCGATATCAACATAACGAACCATTACAGCTCCAAGGTCTACACATCTTCCTCGCCTATCGTTGGCGATGTTACCATCACGACCAAGCGAGACGTTCGGTTCGACTCCATCGAAATCATTCTGCTCGGAAACACAAGGACAAAGACAGAAGGTGTGAACTCACCCGTTGAGATTGCACATACCTTCCTCAAGCTGGTCATGCCCATCCCATCGTCGACATATCCAGTGCCGAGGGTGCTTGAAAACGGAAAAACACTGACGATCCCCTTCAACTTCGTCATCCCAAACCAACTGACCATTGGGGCCTGTAACCACAACGTTCAGACGGACCAAGTACGAGATCAACACGTTCTGCTACCACCAAGCATGGGAAAGGAATGGGAGATAGACGACATGGCACCTACGATGGCCTCGGTCGAATACAGCATCAAAGCCAGGGTACTACACCAACCAAATTTGGGAGGAGAGCGGATCAGGATCATGGAGGCTCGGAAGTCCATCCACGTACTACCAGCCTCGCCAGAGGAGCCGCCTCTCAACATTACCGAAAACGACCAGCTTTACTGCATGTACAAGAAGAAGTCTCTGCGCAAGTTCCTCTCGTCCAAAATCGGGACACTGACGGCCGAAGCCATCCAGCCCAGGGCCGCCATCCTCCAATCCAACGGCCGAACCATGACCTCCACCCCCATGGCCCAAATCCGACTAAAGTACGAGCCCACCTCATCGCAACAGCTCCTCCCTCCACCCTCCATCACCAACATCTCCGGCAAAGTCACCGCCCACACTTTCTTCAACGCTGGCACGACGCCCACATTCCCGAATCTGGGTAACTGGACCGCCGACTACTCGACAGACAAGCGCGGAGTTTATTCGACATCCGTGCCGCTGCCCAAGCTCTCCGTGGTCCACCCGACGACCTGGCAACAACACCCTTGTTCGCTCGAGAGGCGAGACTCTGGTTACGCCAGTGACCGTAGCAGCAGTGCCTCTGAGACCGAAACCCGACAATTGATTCCCCCATTATCATCTTCATCACCACCACCGACGACCTCATCCATGCCCTCCTCCAGGTCCTCCTTCTCCTCTACGAAAAAGGCCAAACCCTCATCATCATCATCAATCTACTTGACCTCCACCCTCTCCATCCCCCTTTCCCTCCCTCTCGACCGCCGGACCTTCATCCCCACCTTCCACTCCTGCATCGCCTCGCGCGTCTACACCTTGAGTCTCTCCGTCACTGCTGCCATTGCAGGCAGCACCAGTGCTAGCACCACTTTCTCCCTGACACTACCACTACAAGTAGCAGTGGAATGGGATCCCGAGCAACAGGAGCAGCAAAGGGTGGATGGGCAGGGGTTGCCGCACTTTGAGTCGTTGTATGGTACTAATGGTACTAATGGTACTCATGGTACTACTGGTATGGGGGGTATGGAGGGAGGTATGGAGGGGGTAAATGAGCAGGAGGAAATGGCGGCGGCGGAGGAGCATTTGAGGCCGAGGGTTATTGGGTTGCCGCCTGATTCGTGGTATCGGGAGATGCAGATGCAGAGGGAGAGTCACAGGGAGCGAGAAAGTGGAAGGGAAGTGGTGAGGGGGGCTGATAATGGTGGTGGGCAGCAGCAGCAGCAGGTGAGGGTGGCGGAGGAAGGAAGGTTGCCGGGGTATGGGGAGGCTATTCTTACCAGGTGATTTTTCGGTCTTGTTTTGTCTTCATTTCCTTTTGATCTTTTCAGCTCCGTTGGCGTGATGTGTTTTTCTGGGCTTTTGGCATATCGGAACAAAAAATAAGTGCGGATACCGGATGTGGGATGATACCATGACGTGGATATGGATAGCAATACCCTTGACTGGACAAGGATGAAGATTGTACTTTGTTTACTTCCCCCCTTTTTTCTTAGTTGGATAACGACTAGGGGCATAATGGATAATATATGATCTTGAACAACCAAAGCCTATGTTAACATCAGCATAATACCCAGCAATGCACTCGAATGTTCCTCTTCCCCTTTTACTCCGAGTATCCGGCACGCGTTCCTCCCTGATAACCTACCTATTCTAATATCCTCGTCGAGGGCGTTACCACGTTCTCCTACCTATACCACAAGCCCTTGATTTGATAATACCATCCAACCCACCTCATCACAACTCAACAACTTGGACAGGATTAATCACCTTTCCCGTATTCCCATAAGTCACACTAGCATTCACCAACAGTGCCCCGTTATTCGATCCCGGCCCCTGCATCACCCACTTCCACACCACAGCAGTAGTCCCATGCCAAATCACCCTCGCAGCATCCATCGAGTCCATCCAAACTCTCTCAAACACCTTCCCAAAGTATAAACTCAACGCCAGGCCGAAATAAACCGGCAATAGCAAGAAATTCACCAGATTCGTCGGCTTCTGCTTCTCCCGCATCTTTGAACGAGGTTCCTGGCGATTTTGAGAGGCCGATTGAGAAACAGCTGAAACAGAGGCGGGAAACGAGAAAATGGAAGGAAAAGCAGGCGGAAACGGAACGTCAGCACCGCGCGCCATGAGCGACTCGTACGCCCGCTGGCACTCGTCGTAGTAGACGGCTTCGCGGCCGGCGCCCCAGTGGACGTGGCCGAACACGTGCAGCTTGGGCTTGACGCGCCAAAGCTCGGCGAGGAGGCCGGCGCAGCCGAGGCCGAGGTCAAGGTGGTGGCGGGGAGGGGTGTGCGTGATGAGGATGTCGGTTTCGACGGGGATGCGGTTCGTCCAGGGGTGAGAAGCGCGGTCGTATTGGAAGCTGGGAAATTGTAAGTAGGATGGAGGCGAGAAGACAGAAACGAAAGTGAAGAAGAAAAAAAAAATAAACAAAGACTCACGCATGCTCCGGCCCTCCACATCTCGGCACCCCTCCCCACCCCCAAACATTCAACCTCCTCCCCTTTGCCCTCCCCTCAAACTCAATCGTCATGACACCTCCATTTTCCCCCTCTCCCGCCATCCCATCCAAATACTGCACTCCCTCCGGCCACGTCAACTCTGCATCCCCCTTACTTCCCTCTCCAAACAGCACCTGCCTTGCCCCTTCTTTATCCAACCACCCATCATGATTGCCCGCCACCACCAAGACCCTCTCAAACCCTTTCCGCCTTCTAACCTCCCCCAACCAATCCAACTGCCTCTGGATACTCTCCCTACTCCCATCATCCGTCAAGTCTCCCGCATGGATCAGCAGACCGCCCTCTCCGTCGGGAATCCTAGCCAGATCAAGCTCATAATTATGTGTGTCGGAGATACAGACGACGCGGATGGGCGAGATATGCGAGGGCGGGTGGAAGGCGTGCCCGCGGAGAAAAAGAAATAGATGGTAGAGGTGAGTGACGACAAGGCGGAGGAAGTGGAGGTGGATGGGAATGACGAAAAAGGGCCAGGATTGCATATCGGTGAGGAGGTGGTCGAGCGGGGTTGGGGGGTCCCATTCTTCAGAGCGGAGGAGGTGGAGGCGTTGGAGAATGGCCGTGATGCCCATTTTGGTCCGAGTTTGATTTTTTGGACGATGGTTTGTCGAGCTTGAAGACTTCAGTTGAAGATGGATGGGGAGGTTGAGGATAGGATGAGTTTCCACAAGGGAAGATGGTATTGGTGTGGGGACTGGTTCGTCGATGGGGGTGACGTGTTTGGGCAGTAACGCTCTCGAGTTGTTCGTGTGGTTACCAACACCAGATAGAGTTGGGTTGAGATGGTACACTGAGACAGAATACAACTTGTTCGGGTACAGTGCCCCTTCCCCTTCAATGATGTAGTCTAGTTGGGCGGAAGTTGGGAGGTGGAATGATCAAGACCTGATGGATGATGACGCGCGGGGTGAGCCCTGCCCCGCTGCGGGTAACCTTGCATTAGGGTAGTGTACTGTACAGTACCGGTACCTGAATGCCCCTGTATGTACCTACTCTGCAGATTCCAACATCCTGGCGCCTTCCATCTCCTCGACTTTCACTTTTTCTTTTCGGTGTCTGAGAGGCCATCAAGGTAGCAGACCTAGGGATGGGTGTGACCGGGCTCATGGTGATAACTTCAGGTCTATAAATACTTCCTTCCATTTGCCTTGTCCTGGGCATGCCTACAAGGTCCTCCGGCCTCTAGCAGCTCTTCGCCAAAGGTATCACGAGAATGCTCCCAGACATTGGCAAGAGAGTCAAGTCATTTTGCTACCTTACATCTATCGACAATATTCAATGCCTGTCAATGTCTCGTACAGCAATGCGCTAACTGAATTTGCGGGTATAATCATCGCTCTTCTGTCGTTCTTCTTGTTTCTTGTTTTCTTTTGCCTTGACATCACTCCCAAGCTCCCACCTGTCGTTACAACGTGTGACAACCTCCTGCTCAGTGAACCTTTCATTGCGCCGCAGTTACTCCAAGAGAAAAAAAAGTAAGAATCAATATTCAAAACCCGCCGTGTGAAATGCCGCTCGCTACTGTCGTGATACCGATTGGTAGAACACGACGGAAATACAAAAGTTACACCTTGGATACCATCAGTCCCGCGCTGGAACAAAAGGTAAGAGAACAGAAAAGAATTAATCGACTTTGATGGCGCTGTAATTCTCCACAGTCAGCAATTCATTCATCATTTCACTTCATTGAAAACCCAACGACAAGGAAAAGGACAAAGACAAAAAAACTCACCCGTATATCCTCCTGACAAAAGCATAAGCAGTCAAGAACCCCACCGTGCCCGTCAATAGCCCATACACACAGCACGCCATAAAGCTGTAACTAAAAAACAGCAATGAGCTCAGCAGTCCCGTGATGTGCAGCTTAGCGAAATAATACCACGTGCAGTACAAAAAGACCCAGACGGCACTTCCACCACCGATGAAAAAGCTCTGCCACCACCAGTGGTAGTTCTCGGCACACAGCTGGATGTAGATGCTCACCACCGTCACCTCGGCGACCGTCACGACCAGGAGAGACAGGACGACTGCCAGGAACCCGAACACATAATAGTAACCGCTCTTGTCCTGCCACATGCTCTGAAACACAAACAGCAGCTCAATGAAAATGACGGCAAAAGGGATCAAGCCCGCCAGCAGCACCGTTCTCAAGCCACGGAGGTACCACGCCTGGACGGGGATCTGGCGCGGGATGGCGCTCGTCTTGGTCGGGTGCTCCCAGGCGCCTTGCTTGCGGACGAAGCCGTACCAGGAGCCAACGTAAACCAAGGGCACCTGGACGCAAAGCCACAGGAAAATGATGGCGATCAGGGTGCCGAATGGGATGGCGGTGCTGGAGGCCTGAGCCCATACGAACAGGTTGAGGACGAAGACGATGGAGAACAAGAGACCCGGAAAGAGGACGGCGGTGACCACCATGTTCTTACGCCAGCGTTGGCCGCCAAAGGTCTTGTATACGCGGGCCGAAAAGTAGCCCGAGAAGAGACCGGCGAAAACAAAGAGGCCGACCCCGAAGCTGACGAAACCGCCGCGGTAGCTGGGGTTGATGATACCCAGAGCGCTCAAAAGCACGAGTCCGATGGCCATGAAGAGCAATTGCATTCCGGAACCGACCAGCGGGGCGAGGAGGTGGCTGTAGGCGGGCGTGCGGAAGACGTCGGCGTGGAGGAGCTTCCAGCCGGTAATGTCCTCGATGGCTTCGTCGTCGGAATCGACGTCGGCAAGACTGTCAGGGCCAACCTCTTGTTCCAAAAGCCCCGGTACTTTCTCGGTAGCCGAGGTGGCCTTGGTCCTGCGCTTGGCTTCGACGTCGGCTGATCGAGCCTTGTATCCCCGGATGTCGGATCGAATGGTCTTGGCGACGACCATGAACACAACGCCCGTCAAGACGCCGCAAATGATGAGCGAGTTGACGATGGCCAGCCAGTGGATCTTGTGGCCATCCACCTGATTGACAAAGTAGAGGTCCCATCTTCTGTGCCACTCGATCGAGGTATCCTCGCGAAAGTACACCGAGTAACTGTAGGGAATGGTGAGCTTCGCATCGTCGTCATAGGTGTCGTCGTCCTCGACATAGTATGATGACCCGGGGCTCAACTCCACCGTCTTGTTAGGCGCCAAGTAGAGTTCAAAGTTTTGCTCTACGTCGTGGAGATTCGCCGGGCACCCGTCGACATTCTTCTTCACATCCGGACCAACGCTCTTGGTATACACTTCGAATCCAACCACGACCTTGCCTCCCTTCTCCCCATCCTTGCCGGGGGCCTTGCGATACCGGATCACGATCGTGTGGTGGTTGTTGAGGTAGTAGCGGGGACGACCGGACGAGAGATCCGTATAACCCAGCTTGAAACCCGCAGCATAGTACTTGCGTGTCTTGTCGACCGTCACGAAGCTGGTAGCGCCGGGGAGGTTGTCGACAATCCACTCGACCACATAGCCATCACGGACGAGCTGGCGCGCCCGCTTCAGTTCCTTCCGGGTAATCACGCGGTTGCAGAGAAAGTTGCACTCGGAGTCGTGCTTCATCCTGAGCTCCATGTCGGACACCTTGATGCGGTCGCCGCGCAACACCTCGCCTAGGTTGAGCGGGATGCTCTGTCCGCTCAACAGTCCGCCGAACTTGTGCTCGCCCGTGGGCGGACAGACAAAGGGCAGGTCGTAGTAGGCATACTGAAGCTGCGTGTTGTCCGAGTAAACCTTGTTGACGAGGAGTGGGATGGCCTCGTCTTCCTTGTAGCTCTTGACGGACCAGCCTGGGATATAGAAGGCATGGACCTGGTGGCAGACAAGCAGTGCGAAGAAGGCTGCCCACCGTAGCCCGACGGCCCCAATGGTCCGCTCCATTATGGTGTGGTTCCCGAAATACTGTTCGGTCGGTACTGTCGTTGCAAAGTCAAGTCATACAATGGGTTAGAGTTGTGTCGATGACTACGTAGGTCCCGAGGGACGGGAGGCTTATCGACGTGTAACGGTATGTATCGATCGATATACAACAAGTATGAATAAACGGGCCGGACACCCGCGGGAAGCTCGTATTCCGACCGCTTTGACGGATGAACCCCGCTTGTGTCTTTTAGTTATAAGGACGCCAAAAAGAAATCGATAAGTCGGTTGGGGTAATGTCTCTCAGAATAAAGTATCAAAGTGTCTGGTATGAAGTTCGGGTGTCGGGGACGAGGATGGGGAGCGTGATCGTGATCGTGATCTCTCGTGGGTCCTGCGGAGTCTCGGCGACAGCTTGTGGTTTCTCTGGGGTTCCAGAAAAAGGGGTCCTCTTGTTTAGTAGCGCCTGTGATCCCTACCTGACAGCAACATGTGCCTGTGTTGTACGTAAAGCGAGGGTTCCTTGAGGGTCCAGTTCGGAAAAAAGGGGGAGGGGGGACGCGTCCCTTGCGAGGAGGAAAGTGTCACGGTCACAGAAGAGGAAGAACGAATGGAACTGGTACAAAGTACCACGTCGAGCGGTTGGACAAACGAGTGCAATGAAGTAAGAGTAATGGCTTAGTATAGAAGGCACAGGGCCACGGAGATGGGGCACAATCTTGACGGGAGTCGCGAATGACTCAAGGTTGGGTTTCGTGCAATATTAGTATTTGAAGGACGTGACTGAGGAGTGTTCAGGCCAAAGACCCTCCAATTTGACAGTGTCTGGCCGTCCGCGGGGGAAGGCCCCCGGGGGCGACTCTCGCTTGCATGTGGATGGGGAATCCTTAATTGGAGTGGGACAGGCTTGCGGTCTCTCAAGCTCGCCTATCTCTTTTGGGAATAGCGTTTTGTAACGGGGAGACAGGGCAACAGCCGCTGAACTGGAACATGTACACTAGCCTAGCGCTTGGGCCAAGTAATCCAGAAATAGCTTATCATGGCGCCTTGGCATTCCTCCTCCTCCAGTTCCTCCTCCTCCTCCTCTGCCTTCACACTATACAGGAGATCGAAGACTGATGGCAGCAAGAAGCATTGCGAATTCGAGTATGTCCTGATTTTATTGTACATCTTCTACCCGTGTGGCTGAGTATAAGCTTCTTCAATAGCGTGTCCATCGCTGCCTCTCAAGCATCACTATAAATCTCCCAACCGTTCAAGCTACAGTCTGGAGTAAGGACCGATAACCAAAAGACTGATACGATGTGTTCTGTGTGAACAAAGCAAATGGTAAGATTGTGTAGGTCTAGACTTGATGTGAGGTACTGAGCATCATGCGGTGCTGACAACTCCTCCCAACCTCGAAATATATGAATATGAAAAATAGACAAATCGCTAGCCAAACCCCAACTTTTGACCAAACAAACCACACCTCCTCACCACAACCCACAAGATGAAAAGTCCCGGGTCATTCAACAAAGGAAACAACAACAACTACAACGTAGCTAACCTCAACTCTACCCTAGGTAGCTATCCTATCACCCTTATCCCTCAGTATCCGCATGATGTTCCTCGTCAGAGCATTCACCTCCCCCAGCCCCTATCGGCGTCGTTCTTTGCATCAACCTCTTACTTGCTATCCTTGGACTCTTTGGTGGACTCTTGGGGCTCTTGGGGCTACTAATCACCCCTTGTCCGTGCCCTGGGGGTCTTCGTTTCCTGATCGGCTCTGTTGCCCGCTTGCCCGCTTTGATTTGTTTCCTTCGCTTCATAGCGGCAGTGACAGTAGCTTCTGGTGTTGATGGAAGAAGCAATTTTTTGTTGCCCGCGTCGTTTTGCTGCTCCTTATTTTCATCCTCTTTCTCTTGCATCTTTTGTTTCCCTTTCTCTCCCTTTGTGTTCTCGGGTGTCTTGATCTTGGCGATATCCTTGCTCTGGTTTCTGGGAGAAACCGGGGTGATAGGACGAGTATCAGTACTAGCAACAGCCATCTCCGAACCTTGTATTCCACGACAGTTCAAGACAACCGGTGTTCTCTTCGTTCCCCGCGACCCTTGCAACGAAAAGGTTCCATCACTCCCAAAGGTCCGAGTTCGTGGAACATGGCCCACCACTCCATGGTAGATATCTCCGCTGAGAGCGTGATGGTGTTGGGGTTTAGGCGAATGAAGAGGGATAGGGGACATCAACCTTGAAGAGTCTTCATAGTCTGTCTCATCTGAATCATCCTCGACACCTGTGTCGAGGACATACCGCTGTTGTCCGACTGCCCTCCCAAACGAACCGGCATTGATCGGAGTAGTGGTCCATGAGGAGCAACGGCAATGCTGACTCTGAATTGGAACCGGGCTGGCTTCCCGCTCAAAAAGGGTGCTCGAGTCCAAGAGCCCGGGTAGCTGTGTACCATGTGCACCGTAGCCAAAGTCATTGAAAAGTAGCTCTTCCTCGCTTTCGCCGGTGTGACGTTGGTGTCCCTTGATGGAGGACGCGTCTGTTGATATGTAGTCGTCAATGTTGAAGTTATCGGGAGCTTCTGGTATCGGGAGGAATGTCAAGCTCGGTAATGGTGTGGCGCTCTTGAACGAGGTTTGGCTCAAGTTAACCGAAGTATCGGCTGTGTGTTGGGATCTTGAAGGCGAAGACGGGTTGGATCTCATGTCCGAAATCGAGACAGTGGAGGATGAGCTTGACCATGATCGCTCGTGATGGTATTCGGGGTTCACCGCAAAACACTTCACTGACGATGCATTTGATAAAGCGCTAGGGCCTCTTGGGGCCGATTGCTCCTCGTTTGCTGTTACACGATGAATTAGTACTCTAGACACAGGAACGTCTCCTCAGCCACCAACGAAAAGCTTAGATAGGCTACTTACGGGATAATGGTGTAGATTTGATCATCTGTGGCAGTTTCAAAGACAGAGTAGCATCCCCAGCAGACGGTTTCAGCGTACTAGCAGCGATGGTCCTGAGGGGCCATTCGATGACAGGAGGGTGATCATGCACTTCGGTATCCTGTTCTGTGGTGGCGGCTGTCTTCGGAACATTGGTGCTCTGGTTCGATTCGACAGGCATATATGGATTGACAGATCGGGACTGTTGCAAATTACAGTTCACTGGCAGTCGTACATCTAGAGAAAGTGTTCTATCCGGATGTGCGTAGGAAGGAGATGTTGGTTCATAGGATGTTGTTGCCCGCGGCGAGGTCTGGGAGATGGTCGAGCTGGTCGACAAATCGATAGGAAGATTCAAAGCCACCGCTGGTGCCCTGGCTCTACGGCTGTTCGGTTCCGATTCAAGCCTTTTTGTGATCTCATCCATCTTTGACTTTTCTGAGATCATGGAGGAACGAGCATAAAATGCCTTGACCGAGGGTGAGTCCAGATTGTGACCGTTTTCTCCCAGATTCCTCTCTGCAACATCCTCGCCATAATCTCTGATGCCTGTAGCTTTCATTCGTATCTTGAAGTTGATAGGCTTGATTTCAGAGTGCGCTTCGATTATATCTCTGTAACGGCTTCCGGTATTGCTGACAATAGAGTTACTTCTTGAATGTACCGAAGGAGCAACTTGTGGCTGGGCGAAGACAATGGTATCGATCCCATTCTGAGAAATTGATCGGGGACGTGGTGAAGTCTCGGGTCTGGCCATACGGAATGAAAGTGGAGGTGGTCTCTTGAGGAGGCTTTTCGCACCTCGTGTAACTCGTAAGCTGCCACCGGCCCCTAACGAGCGAGAAAGTGTCCGAAGCCCATTCGGGGCTGAGCTTGGTCGCTCGACATCCTCCGCTCGAAAGCTAGGGGTGACGGGACTTGGCATTGGGAATCCATCGGCCACTAACCCATCGGCTCTGACGGCAATCTGGGCATCGCTGACATCTCGCGGAAGGATCTTGATTTGGAGTGGTCCATTTCCTCGTGCCGGATTCGTTCCTATCTGTGTTAGTACATAAGTGGCTTGACGTGATGAAGTATAAGTGTGAGAGCTCACCTAGAACTGGGGGTGCTCCAGCAACCATAGCCTCATAATCTAACGATTTGGGAGACACATCCACCTTGCTCTTGTTACCCGACCTCTTGCTGAATAGTCTAAGAAAGCCCATTGTGATGACTGGAAGCTGCTATCAGCAGCTAGAAAGACTTTGCAGCCAGCCCGAAGGCTTAAGGTGAGAGCACCCTAGGTGGATAAAGATGTTGTCGGTATGTGGATAAGCGCAGACACCAAACTCAAAACTAGTTTGGTATCCTGCTTCCAAAAAAAGTACCTTGGTTGAGTTTTGTGTCGAACTAGGCGTAGGATATCAGAAGTGATCAACCAGAAATCTCAACAAAGTCTATGTTGTAAAGTGAAAGATGCAATGTAGGAAGCGGGAAAACAAGGGGGAAAACAGTAACAGAAAAGTCACAGGGTGGCAGAAGCGGATCGAGAAAAGCAGCAGAAGGAAAGAAAAGGAGGAGGGGGGGGGGGGGGGGAGAAGAAAGCAAACAAAATCGGCCGGTATTTCTTCGAGAAGGATGGGTTTCCTAGCCATCGTTCCAGACCAAGAAGAAATGCCCCCCAAGCCTGCAGTTCACCACGCAATAAAAGCGGCTGCTGAGGATGAAGGACATGTTCACTCAGCATCTCGCTGGCACAGCATGCGCAGCTGAGGTACTAGGTTACGCCGTGGGCTTCCGAGAGGTTGCCATGAGAGGCTCAGTGTCCGTGGAATTCGCTTCTGCATACTAGACAGCCCAATTGACTTGACACTGGCTTTGTTCAAGTGGTGAAGAGTCGAGATTGGTTGGAATAGGTTTGACATGGCTCACATCTTGGGGTTTCCCCGGCGTGAGGTAGCACACTCGGGAGGATGAGTACATGTCGAGTGAGCGTGTCTGTTTCTGATTTCTCTCTCCTCACACCGTATCTGGCATTTCTTGCCTGTCTTCACTAGGTAGCACTGACTGGGTGAAGTTCATGACAGTGGAGCGTCAAGCAACAGCCGCTCGACATGATCACTGTCCAGCTTTGGATGTCGCGGGGAATGAAGGCATACGGATGTTTGAGTTCTTGCTTATTTCGAGCAGTGAGGCTGCCGTACAGCGTTTGTTTGAAGTCGTCTGTGGCGGATGATCTACGATATTGGACTGGACCAACGGAGATCAACCTTCCGTCATGGAGATATCTGTCAGGTACCCTGTCCCTTCGGTCACATCAGTCTCCCTGCGTTTGCTTCGCTTCTGCCACTCTCGCCTCATGCATCGCCCGCCTCGATTGCAGTGGTGTGTTTCTAACAGAATTGGGGAAGGCGCTGTTTGTGGTCGGTAACTAAGGTAGTTAGGCGTCATCATCTCAGCTGCAGTTGCTGCTTTGGGTCAGTGATAAATTACCATGGATGATTCATGTTACCATGGCCGACGCACAAGCAAGACACGCATCGCTGATGATCCCAGCTGATATGGGTGATCGAAGTAAACAAATGACCGAAGCTAGCACGGCTAGAAATCAAGAAGAAGCTTGATGGTACAGGAGCGAGAAGAATGGGGTAGCTACCACTGATCTCATCCCGAGAAGCAAGGGAGCTAGGCGACCCCCTGGCCTGATTATATTCAGCGATCTTTGCGATGTCTGGCGCAATGATCGCTGCTTGGGCGGTTACTAGCCGAACGTCTGGGGGCTTCGTTTTCTCGCCTGGACGCCTCGAAGGCCTCGCTACCCAATCACAGCCCATGTCGCCATCTGATTTGGGGGCCTTCGTTTTCTTCCCATGCAGCAAACTGTCTGTTTCCATCCTTCTAGCGATTCAGAAGAACCGGGGTCTTTTTTGAGGTAGGATGCTCCCTTGTCAGTGACACTACCCTCAAGAGCCATTCATAGGGGTCCGGAGATGTCTTGGCTTTCCCTCAGAAGTACGCCAACGTTCGTATACTTTCGGTTTCCAAAAGTTTGTAGAGTCGCGTCTAGCACAGTATGATGGACTAAAATTGAATCACAAAGGGGGCTCCCAAGGCCAATAATCATGTTCATATCTCAAGTAGTGATCGATCGAGGATACAGAGGTTTCACGTACTTATCAGAAGATTAGACATGACTTCATCTTTGGGAATTGCTTCGCAGCGCAGGCGTGATCGCGAATATCAGATCTCTTACTAAAGAGTCCAGAGCTTCAAGGGTTCGTAGTATCCGCGGAGCCACCCGACTTCTTCCTCCACGGAAGCAATCAGAGTGGCCCAGATAGCTCACATTCCAAGGCCGTGTTAATTTCTTCCCGTTTGGCCATGCCAGTTCCCGTCGGCAGAAGGGTTTTGCCTTGTTTGTACCCGCTTGCTCCGGCCGTTACCCATACATATGGATGAGTAGCCACTTGTTGACCTGGTTTTTGGTCTTCGAGTGCTCATTAGCCCCGTCATGCTGTTGAGACGTTCTTATTTTCGCGAATCGCTCTGAGTTCTTGACATAAGTTACAGGGGTATGCCGGTAGCCAGACTGCTTCTCGTATCACGTATTCGTTGCACTTGTCCGGTGTCATGTTGCTCGAATCTGATCGTTGTCCTTGTCAACTATGCATGCCTGGACCTTCCCCGGGAGCCCCTTATGTAGGGAAAAGTGTCACATGTATAGTAGTCGCCGGGATAACTCAGCTCCACCCGAGGCCGATCAAGAGCGTCCGTAGGCCCGGCCACGAGGAACTGGGGATTTCTCTTGACCGACATTCCAGAGATCCTACCAAACTGATGCTTCCCAATACTTTGTGATTGAGACGGGTTCCGGGTGTCTGGACTCCGACGAGTAGCTATTGTGAAATTCCTGTGATATTCAAGTAAATCTATGCTATGTCTTTGCACAGTCATCAATAATCCATGCATGGAATATTCGTGGGACTTGTACATACGCTTGCTGATAATCAACCCTTTTTGTCCCTTGAGCTGGTTCTACAACACAAGGCAAGGCGGAATGCTGGTGTAAGGGCTTATTTCGCGTCTTCCAACGACTCGAGCAGGAGATGCGCATCTCTTCCACCCACTCTCTAATCGAAGCTGCTGGCAAGTGCCACACAGCTGAACCTCAAATCGCCGCCCCCTCTCTCTAGGAACTTGAGCGGTCCAAGCGTCAACGCCGCTTGGCTCAGGACATCATCGTCCTTGCCAAGTTCACCCCTCTTCAGAGGTCCCTTTCTGCGTCCGTCTAGCTCCCACAAGCCTCCATCCTCGGTCTTGACGAAGCAGACATAGTGCAGATCGACCTCGTCTGTAGCGGCCGGTGCTTCGGTATCGCCCTGGGTCGCCGCGCTCTTGTGGGCATTAGCCAGCTCAGAGTTCGTTTCCAGCACTCTTGCCCTCGCAACGGGATCCAGCGGTGTCGCATCCTTGATGATTTTGTCCAGAGTCGAACCGTCTTCCACAAGCTGGCGGGCCGGCCCGTTGATGGCCGCATGGAGCAGACCCATCAGACCGCAGGCGTTGCGGATTGTCTGGCGAAACCAGAGAACAGGCTCTAGCGGGCCCTTGCCTGAATAGTCTTCGAGGAGAGAGTCCTCAGCGAGGCGAGCCGATTCGTAGGCGGCCGAGACGGGGAAGACCATCAGCAGAGCCAGGGCAGGGCGCGGGATGAAGGCGAGCATGTCTGGGTCGGTGAGGGAGTAGACGTCGTGAACCTGGAGGGATGTCGAGAGACCGAGCTTATGGAGGAGGCTGGTCATGAGTTCGGGGTTGGCTTCGAGGGGGATGAAGGCCGGACGATCGGAAGCAGCGGGGACGCCGCCGTGGGGATCAACTTCGTTGGAGGCCATGATGATGGTAGTTCGGGAGGTCTATCTGTGCGCTTGGTTGTCTTTGATGCTGAAGATATCTTCGGAAAGACTTGATCAGCTTATGCTCGATGAGAGTGCCTAGAGCATACCTAGAGTACCGGCAGCTTGATGAAGCTTGACCCCGCGGTCGGCGCACGAAACAACCCGCTCTGATCTACCCAGCTGGGGTCCGGTTGCTGTAAGCAGAAGTCTGAAGCTTACCTTGTTGTTTCCACCTGTTAGGCTTCGGTTGCTGTGGAGGTTGTGGTGATGGGTTGGTGATTTGCCGTGGTGGAAGACAGCTGTAATGGGAAGAATTGTTGCCAGTGATGGTGCCTAACCGAGGGCACCTATGTGATGATATCATATGCACACTGTGGAGACCTCGACAGTGGATGGTGGAAGCTCAGCCCCAGACAGCTAAACCCGCTAGGCGCTTCAGGAACAGCACAGTATTCTGTACACTATACTAATCACCATGCAGTGGAACATGATACTCGAGCAGTCCACATTGAAATGTCTGAAAGAGATCAGCAACACCAAGGGCAAAAGAAGACTAGAAATTGTAGCTACAGAGAGGAACTTGTACTTCCAAGAAGCTTTTATACATCGAATAACAACTCCCCAATCGCTGGGTAACCAACTTGCCCCCTAATACCAACGCCGACCATCCATGTAATTCTACTGGCATTCAAATCCGTTTCGGAAGACCTACATATATCATAATAACATGCCCAGCTCCAAGCTTCCATATAGTACAGATACCTTCCATATAGTACAGATATTGGAGGTCTTTATCCTCGAGAGACACGGCTATTGAGGCTCTCAGTTGTCCTGCGAGCGCGAACTGGCAGAGCAGCATTGACCTCCTTCTTCTCCCGATACAGCGGCTCCTCGTGTCCCTCCGCGTCCCACAAACCGGGACCGCTCTCAGCGACAGGAGCCTCCTCAGCCTCTGCGCCAAGGAGTTTCTCTTCCTTCTTGCTATGCGACTGGGCCTGGCGTCTGAGCATCTCACGACGTCTTTGTTGCTTGTCTGCCTCGTAATCGGCAGCTTCCAGACAGTTTGTGATCTTCTCCTCAACCAGAGATTTGACGTGAAACGCCAGTTTTTGGCTGACAAACACGCCACGGTACCGATAGCTGAGCCACAGGTACAAAGTGACAGCTTTATGGAGACCTTCGAGTCGCAGCAAATAGTTCTTTTGTCCCTGGGGATCAAGCTGTGAAGCATCAACATCGAGCGCCTCCAGATCAACCTCGGGAATCTCGAGCAAGTGACCTCCGGATAAGTTGGCAATACTCCAAGCGAATGCCCTGAGAATGTCTTTTTGACCCTTTTCCCGGAGTGAAACGGGGGCTGTCAGCAAGACCGATCGGTCGTATATGCTGAGGTCGAACTCCTTGAGGACATCGGAGATGTCGAGATGCTCGCCAAAGCTGCACATGTTGAAGGAGCTCGAGAGCCGTGCCATTTCCCTGAGTCTGGACAGAACGAACGCAAGTGGAATATCGGGAGAGAACAGGGAGGCAAACCGCTCGATGATGTGCGATGGCGGCAAGATACCCGCCGCGGCAATGGGCTTGGCGTCGTTTTGAAGATGCTTTCTGATAACACCGAGGTCCTGATCATCCATGGCTGTGACGAAACCCGGCGCTCCCCACTTGCTAAAGGCAGACGTAGCTGAAGTCTCCTCTTCTTTGCCGGAGCGAACAGCATCAGTGGCTGTCCTATAACGACCAGCCCTACCGCCAATCTGCTTAACTTCCGGGATTGTCAGGGGGCGATGCGCCATGCCATCGAATTTGAATGCCGATTCGAAGACGACGCGCTTAATCTCTAGGTTCAGACCCATGCCAATAGCATCACTGGCGACCAGGAAATCGTACTCGTTGTTCGGGTCATTGAACAAGGCAGCCTGCGCCGCTCTGGTTTCGGGCGGCAACGAGCCATAAACAATGGCACATTTACGCCCAGTCGCTTCTTCGATACCAGCTTTCAGAGAGTGCAAGTTGACTCGAGAAAACGAGATGACAGCGTCGCCTTTTTGGAGGTTCTTGAAGTCGGTGCCAACAGCTTGCTCCATGGGAAGCAAGGGGTTCAGCCTCTGATAACGATGCACAATACACTTGTCACCCAAGCGAGCACAGAGTTCCTGTATCAGATCAACCACTCTTTCCTCGCCACAGAGATGAAGCTCCTTTGCTTGGCAGCCCAGAACTGCCTGGGTCCAAGCCCAACCACGGTGTTCGTCGGCGATCATTTGAATTTCGTCAATGACGGCGACATCAACCTTCCAGTTCAATGGCGTCATTTCCACCGTACAACTTCGGAAGAACATGTCGGCGTCTTCCGGTATCCTCTGTTCCTCGCCTGTGATGAGGGCACACGATTTGCCCTTTGCAGTAAATCGCGTGTAGATTTCGTGCGCCAGCAGCCGGAGAGGTCCGGCATAGATGCCCGATTTCGCGTTTTCCAGAGCTTTCAAGGCGTTGTAGGTCTTTCCAGAGTTCGTCGGGCCGACGTGCAGGTGAATAGTGCGCTGCAGTTGACGAGTCGCAGGGAACCATTCGTAAGGGAAGCGCAAATCGGCAAGTCGTAGGTGTAACTCTGTGGTGGACTTGGAGAACTGCTTGCGCATCAGGAAGGTCTGGAGCGCATAACGAAGCTCCTTGGTCAATCCTGCTGCATCCCCCTTGATAAAGGCAGAGCGCAGGTTCCAGAACAGAGGGTTATCAGTCCGCGACGTCATGCCGAGTGCGCTGGCCAGGTGAAAGGACCTCTTCAAAGCCTCTTTGAAGAAGGAGATCTCTTGGTAGTAGCTCTCTTGAGTGTGCAATCCGAATGCTCTGTATTCCCGGTGCTCTGGGTCCCATTGTCCCAATTCCCATAGGAGGTGATTCAAACGGTGCTTTGTAAGGTCGTAGAACTCGTCGTATCTCTGCCGCAGCGCCGGCTCCGAGGGCGTCGTCCTGCGCTGTGCCCTTTCCCTGTCATTGAGGCGTCGTCGAAGCTGTTCATCAGCTGGCAAATCCTGCAAGGCGAAAGAAGGTCAGCAATCCGGAAGATGAGAGCTCGGGGCGGAAGATGGCGAGAGAATCTGACATTAAAAGATCTGATTGAAGTGTCGGAAGCGGTCTTGGAGCTGCGCGGCGCGGGCTTCTTGGGTGGTTTAGACGACTTCACCCGAAAGCGGCGAGTAACGAGGACTGCGCTCCGCGGACATCTCCAGGCCTGCCCTAACAACGCATTCATGACGGTGGACGAAGTGCGCCGGCGATCATGCTCGTCGTTCGAGTGGCACAAAGTGTTGGTTTTCAGAGGCGTGAACTTGAGCCCGGAACAACGTGGGATGGAGGCGCTACAACAATTCTTATCGTGGACTCGAGTTTCTGACCCTCGGATCCAATTCTTTTTCTTTATCGCTTGGTTCCTGTCCTTCCACAGACGGGAGCACTCCCTCTCTTGGCACTGTGCTGCCTTCCCTTGACCCCTGCAGTGGGGACTCCCTCCCGTCGCTATTCACCCCCGGCTGAACTCGAAACCGACCCACCCGCCAAGCCCACAAGGCCGTCAAAGGTGGAGTGGTCCTGCATCGTCATCATGCAGCCCGTGAGTGGACAGTGACACTCAACTACTGAGCCCGCTCTGTAACCTCAGTGGCAACCACCGTGACCGACAGCGACACTACTACACTAAGTAGAAACAGCATTTTTCGAATCTCGGGTCTCGATTAGTTCAGCATCGATCATACCATTCGATCACCACGAGCCGCGATCCGCCATCTTGAGACTTGGACGCTGAGCCATTCAACCGTCTTTCACACTTACTTAACACCCGCGGCCTGGTGATTCCGACCCAAGGAAATCTCGCTATACCTCTTTGCGCGCATCCAAAAATGGCTTCATCATCGACTTCAGCAACTCCTCTCCTCTAGTACGTTACTTCACCACCTTGCCTGTCCCACAAGCCCTCGCCGATCACTGACACCCATCTCCGCAGCTCCTGCATCGCCCACAACACCACCATCTTAGCCGAGTGCACCACCTCCGCCTCGTCCCAGACCTCCTCCCTCGCCTCGCTGATTCTCCCCAAGATCGACCACTCGACCCCTCAAAAGCTCACCTACACCCATGGCTCCTACCACATCCACTACATGTCCGAGTCGCCCTCGGACTGGACGTCGCAGCCCTCTGCCTCCTCCGCGGGGGGGCTCACCTTCTTGGTCGTAGCCGACTCCTCCCTAGGGCGCCGCATCCCCTTCGGTTTCTTGGTTGAAGTCCGCAAGCGCTTTCTAGCCCAATACCCACCTGGACCGACCAACGATTTCTCGGACATGCCCAACTACGGCACGGCCTCGTTCAACTCGGAGCTCAAGACGCTCATGGTCGACTACGGCACCACGGGCCAGGGACAAAACGATGCAATTACCAATGCTAAGCGGGAGATTGAGGATGTGAAGGGCATCATGACTAGGAACATTGAGGGTCTGCTGGAGAGAGGCGAGAGGATTGATCTGTTGGTGGATAAGACGGATAGGTTGGGCGGCAGTGCGCGCGAGTTCAGGGTTAGGAGCAGGGGGCTCAAGCGCAAGATGTGGTGGAAGAATGTGAAGTTGATGGCGCTGTTGGCGCTGGTGGTGGTGTTGATTGTGCTGTCGATCGTGATTGCGGTGAAGAACAGCTTGCCATGAAGGATTGGGTTGGGAGACCTATTTATGGGTGTCCGGTTGCCTGAGTGGACTTGGATTTAATGAGTGACGGGTTACGAAAATACGGGGTCTCATGTCGTTATGGCTTTTTGCTGTTGTTGTTACGTTGATTTTGGCGTTTTCCTCCATATCCTGCGGTTGCGTTCTGTTCCTTTGCTAATGTTTGCTCCGGTTGTAATATGTAGAGCCTGTATCATCGCTTTGTTTTTCAATCAGATGCTCTTCTCTCCTTAATCGCTTGTGGACGCAATGTCCCGCCGGGAAATGAGGACGGAGTGGCTGCAATCACGGTGTTGGTGATATGAAAGAAAGAAACTCGGAGAGCTTAAAAATTTACAGCACCTAACCCAATCCAAGTTGAAGTTTCCCGTGATATATCTGTTAAAAAGACGAGCGACGATGATCATACAAACATCGATTTCATCAACACCAGGTCCGACAATGCGGGACATCGCCTGCTTTACTTTCGTCAACAGCGACAGCCACAAGTTCTCCACCAAAAGCGCCCGCTTCACTACGATAACAGTAACGTCTCGCTTAGTATCATCATCACCTCCTCTGCCGTCAAAATCGCCCATAAGAAATCACCGGGAGAATAGAAGAAATAAAACAAAAATCAGATGATGAGACCTAGTCAACCAGCACCCCCAGACCCCTCACCGCTGCCTCATCAATAGTTTGCCCCCCATTCTTGGGCGACGCGCCACGTCGTATTGCCATATCGTGATTGTCGTCAGATTGTCAAGGGGACTGTCGCGTTGCCAGACGGATGCGGATAGATCGGGCAAACACCTGGGGGGGCGGAGCGGACGGGGCTCCTTTAGTCGAAAATTGCACTGTTGTCAGGAATCAAACGGGCGAGGGCCATGGTGAGGGTCTGTGAGTCTGGTTTGGTTGATGATTTGAACTTGCCCTTTGCTGAATCGCTTGCCGATATGTCTCATTGACAACGTTGAAAGATCAGGGTGAAAGACCTAGTGTATAGCTAGGGGCCTAGTTGGTTAGTCACTGGTGCTTGGTGGTCCGTTGTCGAGTGAGTTGTCGAGAGGAAGAGAATTGGCATGTTGTAATGCCAAGTTGAAAGGTATTTGTACATATTCTGTCTTGATTTCGGCTTGAGATCATCAGTGATTGCTTGAGACCGCACGAAGTCCGTTCTATAACGCCCCTTGATCCTGAGATACGATAATGGTGATACGGGTTGTAAATCTCGTTGTAAACAACACACCACTCATAATTTCACCATCATGGGGCGTCAGAAATGCTCCCGAGTCCCGACTGTATGTCTCGCATCTGACGCCTCCTCATCCACACCGATTTTCATCCAGCATCCTCATAGCCTCGAACTTCCCCCAGCAACCTTCGCCGACCCAATTGCCATATTTCCCAGGCTCACAACCCCTTGCTTCTGAAGCCTTTGCGCGTCTTGGAACATATACCCATGAACCACCGGGCTCACCGCATGCGACGATGATGCGCCACTAGGTCCGGGTTTTTGAAGTGTAAAAGACGGACTTCTCCGCAGTCTTGGCGTGAAGAAAACTGGATGGCAGTAGGATGGGTCGAGAGTCATGGTAGGTGATGGTGGCATTGCCGCTTTTGGAACAGACGTAAGGTGCTTTGTTCTGGATTGTGAGAGTGAAGGTGACGAAGATGATGATAGTAGCGGTACCTGAGCCTTTGGGGGGTTTAATGGGAGGGTCGTCATTGATGTTTTGGTGTTGATGATTTGCTTGCGTTGGTGGTCTTAGTGCCAGTATTTGGTATTTAGTGATCTCTCGGCTTATAGGTTGGGTGAAGTCACGGTTGAACTGCGTAGTAGAGTTGGAGTTGAGGGAGGCCCACGAAGCTGTGTGTTGTTGAGGACAATAGTTAACTGTGTGAGCCTTCCGGGGGTTGAGAACGGATATGATCGCTGGGGCCGAGACTCGGCTTCCTGATTAATAAGGTACAAGTTCTGGAATTAGAAACAGCTCGGCGGAGATTAAAATGAGCGACATCTATTGCACCCCAGAGATTCATGATCCCGGGACGTTGGATCGCCCAGGATGCTACTTACATAGTTCGTCATTGTTGATCATCTTCACGTGAAGTGCCGAAAGAGCCCCACTATAGTTACCGGCCCGGCGTTCTATCCCCGCTCAATATGGTGTCCTGCCTGCCTGCTAAGCACCCGAGGGGGGCTCCGCTCATGGATCGGCCCGCCCCCGAGCATCGGGATTCAACTCCATATCCGGCCTGCATTTTGTACGTATGTGTACATTACTGTATGGTAGATTTCAGTCTACACTATGAGATCGTGAAATCTATATGCTGTTACTGGTCTATTTGACCTCCTTCTAGGCAGTCTTCTCCCCATTTTTCGCCTTCTTCCCACTCTTGGGCTTTTCCTTCTCTTTCTGCTTCCCCTTCTTAATCGTGTTTACCAAAGCTTCAATCTCCTCAACGCGTTCCTGTTCCTTTTTCTCCTCCTCCATCTCCATTTCTCGTTTCTTTGCCCTTGCCCGCTTTGCAGCCGCATCCTTCTCCTTCTCCTCAATCAGCTTATCGCTTGATTCCCACAGCTTTTTCGCAATGGCTTCGTCGTCCACATCCTTCCGTGCGCAGTCGACCACCATGCACTCCTTGACCACCTTTCCACCCTTGTCGCGAACGAGACTGCCTTCCATGACCGCCCACAGGATAGACTGCGCGCCCATCCTTGCGCTCTTGAGGAAAAGCCAGGAAAAGACGTAAAGAAAGAGGTATACGATGAGACCCCATACGGTACCTCTAGTAAGCCACCGACGCATGCCAGGCGTTCTCGAGTATCCAGGATCCACCAAAAAGACGCGCGCATTCATCGGAAGCTCATCGGGCCTCTTGTATGCGTCCAGATGCTTCTGATAGGCTTTGCCAAACACCATCATGGCCATCTTACTCCGCGCGTATGCCTTGCCGGGGGACCAGTCCTTCTTATCCAAAGCTTTATCCAACGACGGCGAGCGGATGTAGGCGGAGCATGTCGGGATAATGATGCGCACGTCGCGGTCGAACGGTTGCGCGCGGATCGCGGGACTGAGGATGCCCAGCAGATGGAAGTTGGAGAGGAAATTAACCTGCCAGGTGCTCTCCACCCCATCCGGTGTCTCAGTCCTCGCCTTTCCGGGCGGTGTGAGGGTCGATCCGCAGAGGATGATGGTGTCGAGGCGGCGTGGAGGAGCGTTGTCAACCCATTTTGTCGCAAATTTTCGGACGCTGTGCAGGGAACGTAGATCGACTTGTTCGGCGTAAATAAGCTGGTTGTTGGTGCGCTCGCGCATGTCGTCGATGAAGTCGACGAGAAAGGCGTCGTTATGTTCGTGGTGTGTGAGGAGGATGATTTGGGCGCCTCGCTTGGCAAGCTCGTAGACCGTAGCGGCGCCGATTCCTGATGTGCCGCCGGTGATCATGACAACGCGACCGTGCATGTTCCGTTCAGCCGTACATGTCGCGCCACTGGCGTAGATCTTTGTGACCGCGATGGCTCCGAGAGCGCTGCCGGCCTTGGTAAGAGTCCACGGCCCGGGTAGCCATGATGGCCACCCGTCCATGAGAACGCTGGCGAGGAAGGGAATTGGCATTATGCGGGATGGGTTTCGAAGGGATCGTTGGTGCTTCCAGTAATGTTACAGGGTCATTCTGCGAATCCTGAGATGTTGTTGCTGTTGTTGTTGTTGTTGGTGGTGCAAAAGCAAAGAACGCTTATGAAAGAGGACAACAAGCTCGAGAAAGGAGGAGCTACCTCTATCGCAATTGGCTACAGGCCCAACTGGCCAGAAGTTTTGGCTCCAACCACAGCAGCTCAAACAAGGTTACGTCAGGGTTTCAGGGGCTATAATTAGCGACCCAGTCCATCAAAACCGACCGAAGTCCGGATGGAGGAATGGGTCCAACATGGACCACAACGGGACCAGGAACCGAAACAGAGCCGCATCGACGGCAGGCATCAGGCCCCACTAACCACACCTCAAGCGCAGGCATCAAGGTTCTCCCGTGATTGCCCCATCAATTCCTACCAAGGTACTACCGACCTCTACTTCACCACTTGACGGTCCACTGAGCCTTTACGTCAATTCACGAACCCATTAACACAGCTTACCCATCTCTCCTCCACCGTCAATTGCAGAACATCAACACAGACTCATCCAAGAAAAAGCTCTGCGCATGTACCCACAAACAATGGGTTCCTCAGACAGGCGAGCCGTCAAGGTTACAGACGACGATGATGCAGAAGACGTCCCCCTCCACCACCTTCGCCCCTTCGGCACCGGGTTATACAAACAACAGATAAAATTCGTCCCCGCCTCCGATGGCGACCTAGACTCGACCAGTTTGACAACGACCAAGTCCAGCAAGCCAAAACTTGACGTAGCTGGTCTTTACCTGAATATGGTTCTCGCCAATAAGGACAAAAACAAAGACAACGAGAAACAAAATGAAAATCAATCAACAGTGACGGATATTACCACCACCTTCACCACCACCAGCACCTCAGACACAATCCAAGCCACTACACTGCCAACAGAGCAGCCACCAATAGTAATACCACAACAGGAAATCTGCCAGATCTGTAGCCTCCCCTACGCACCAAATCCAGAATCCAAAGCTATCCACGAACAGTCCTTTGCGCATCAATCCCGCCTCCCACACTCCCACCCTCCCTCAGCCCTCGACCGTTCACGGATGGGGCTCAAACACCTGACAAGCCACGGCTGGGACCCAGACTCCCGCCAAGGTCTCGGGTCCGCGGCACAGGGAATCCAGTTCCCCATAAAGGGCAAGAAGAAAGATGATCACTTGGGGCTTGGGGTAGAGGTGCCTAAGAATGGGCAGCTACTTGTGCCAAAGAAGAAGGAAAAGTTGTTGGATGCGAAAAAGGTTCGGAAGATGGCCGAGGTGGAGAAGAAGAAAGCGGAAAGGATACGAAAGGAGTTGTGGGGGAGAGGACCTGATCTGGAGAGGTATTTGGGGAAGGGGGGCTAATGGGTAAGAAAGTGGTTGAGGGTCTATATGATTTATTGGCAATCTGAATGAGCGTCATATCACGAAGTCATTGAGCTAATCTCGCGGTAGTCGATGTTAGCGGCAGCTGGAGGGAGAATCTTGACTTTATTCAAGGGGATTCGTATGTTAACCCCGAAGAGGGCGAATAAGTTCAAGAAGAACGACGGATCAAAAGGATCAGCGCACAGTAATACGCACGTTTGATCACCTAAAGCCAGGGCAATGTCAAACCGGGAACCATGGGACGGGAATCAGTTTCCCAACATCAACGTCAACTTGCCTATTTGATCTGTGATACAGCCGAGTGACTCCCTAGATTAATCTTCCTTGGTCCTTTTTTTTCCTTAATCGTCCCTTTTGCATATTTGCTACCAGGTGGAACGTGTTAACAACCCTCTCTTAAATGCGAGCAACCTCTGAAACGAACCCATTAACTAATGAAGCACAGACACCCCAGAGCAAAATAGAAGATCAGAAGGGGGAAAACCGCCAACCCAACGCGGTTCTTGACAACGCCGCTTCCACTGAGAATGCTTATACCTGCCGCAAAGGACCAGCCTACAAGCACCAGGTACACCGGAATCCGGGCGACCCAGTACAGCGAGAGAGCGGAGAGCATGGCAGCCAGGACGAGAGGGAAAAGGGTGTATCCGATGATACAGACGCTTTGGGCGAAAGAGCTGTTGTTGGAACCAAAACTGTTAGCATGGCCACATATCATCTCATCAATTATGTAGCTTTGTCAGCTACAACAAGCCGCAAGAAAACATAAGACACTCACATATTCCCACCCAACAACTTGATCTGCGCCGTCACCACCGCCTCACCAATCCACACCATTGCAAACACACCGCTAAACACAATCTCCCTCTGCTGCTCCCTGCTCCTAAAGCTCAGCAGAGTACTCAGCAACAGACAGAAGATCAACGGGCCCCAAAGATCCCAGTCCCTCAATCCAGGACTCATATTCCCCTGCTGCAGCAGAGACTCGGGGTCCATCACTCTGCTCGCCAAGCCCGTCAACTCCTCCCTGGCGCCCGACAGGCCGGCGTTCCGGATGTTGGCGTAGGCGCCCCGCAGGCCGTCTTCGGACTCGAGCATGGTGCCGCCGAAGAGGTAGCGCGGATACAGCACCTCGCGCATCTTGGACCACACGGCGAGCAGATCACGGCGGAGCGTCTCCCAGACCGTCTCGTCGATGGTGTTGTTGGGCGCACGACGGTCCTCGCCGGGAATGCGGGAGGTCCAGGCTGATTGGGTGTTCCCTCCGGAAGAGGACGAGCCGATGCCGCCGGCGGCGGCGGCGGAGGAGGACGAAGAGCCGATGGTGCCGGTTAAGGGTGCGCGGGAGGAGGAGGGGGCAAGAGGATCGTCGAAGTCGTTTAGGTCGGCTTTGTTTGGGAAATATCTGTGTCAGCAATTGTCTCGTTGTTGTCGAGTGGGGTGGAAGGTGTATGTCTACGTGGACGAACGACAGAGATGTAACTGCGAGAAACTCAAAGGAGTCAGTAGAGCTTACCATCGTCAGGATCTATCAGATCATCGTCGTCCAACATTGGTTGCTGACGGTGGTAGTCTTTACCACCCAGTGAGGCCATCTTTGTGTGGTCGTGCGTGAATGCGGCCAGGCGAGTCGTTGGTTTGTGACAGTATGTAAGCTTCCCTGTTTGGGTAGGCAGGATTCTCGGACGCAATCAAGGTTGGCCCCTTTCAGTCGGTCAGTGTTCGGTCGATTGGGATGTCAAGAACCTATTCCCAGTCGGGCAGGATACAGTGCCAGAGGTGTTCGTGATTAATGGTGGTGGTCTGCCTGCCTAGTTAGGAGCTGTTGTGTGGAAAGCTCCGTCAGAGAAGCTTCAATGTTCTTGGGGGGGGGGGGGGGGGGGCCGATTGGATTGGACGGGCCACGTCCCCATGTTCAGCACGGCGGACGACCCCTTCCCCCACGGGTCAAGGCGCTGACGTTTGATGCTGCTACAGGGCAGTGCTCCAAAGTGGCCCGAGTTCTACTGGGTATCACCCCAGGGTTAGGGTTTATGAGTGCTCAAACATCATTCAACCCAAGCCTTCCACCTTCATCAGACTTCCTAACACAATGTCTTGTAAAGTTCTGATATCATTTTTTCTCATTTGCATCCTTTCTCTAAGCTGCCTCGTAAAAGATAGCTGATAATGGGTGGTATGCTTTACAACACTTTCGCCGTCACCTCGCCGTGCATATTGATACATTCCAGACACTCCTCGCCCCTGTTCCACGGCGTCTAAATGTAGCTGAAACGATAATAACAGCAAGTATCCTCCATCTTCTTTTCAATATCCCTGTTTGGACTTTGTAAGCCATCATGGTTCGAAACATGCATCATATGGTAAAAACTCGTCTATCCTTTTCCTTCCCCGACAATCTAACAGACATGCAGCCATTGGCTTAATGATGACCACCCTCCGACCCACTCGTCGCTGGAGCTGGAGACGTGCCCGTCGTCGGGAATGCCTCATGGAGCTCCTGAGGGTTCGGGTAGTGAGCTGCTGCCACGCCGATGGCCACATACACGATCACGCACAACATACCCTCCAGGTAGTTAGTCTTCTGGTCCCTCAAGAAGTTTCCGACTGTCAAAATGGCGAGGATCAGCATAGCTAGGTCGAACAGCTCAAAGTTGAACCCCATGGGCTTGTTCATTCCCCAGCCGACAATCACCACGAGAGGGCCGTTGAAAAGGGCCGTCTGTAGCGTTGAGCCCAGTACCGTCGATAGGGCGATATTCATCTGGTTGTCGTACGCTTCGTCTACGGCCGTCAAGTGCTCTGCGGCCTTTTCGACGAGTGGAATCATGATCAACCCGAGAAAGGCATCGGAGACACCGCGTTCCTCAACTAGAAAGTGGATTCTGTCGACGAGCATGATGGCAATGATCGTAACAAGGGCGACGCCCACGGCCAAGGCGATGATGGACTCGATTAGAGTGAGGCGATGACTCTGAAGCTCTTTATGCTTGTCGTCATCACGCTCGGCGTCGGCCTCGAAGATAGCGTCGTAGATACCGTGGTGGGTGCGCATCTGGAAGAAGACGTACACGAGATAGGCGATGATGAGCAAGACAGCGGTGCTACGCGAAATTTCGAGCGTTTTGCGTTCGAGTTCTCTTGTGTCTAAGCGGCCATGAAGGGCGTTATAGAAGGCTGTAGGAACGGCTAGGCCGAATCCACTGTGGCAGAAGAAACAGTGAGTACTTGCGCCTGCTAGACACGGAGCTCTAATGTGATGGACGTGGGAACTTACGCAGTGAGCAACAAGCCGCTACCGGCTTCACTGACAATTTCGCTAAAGTGCGTCTCCTCGCGCTTGAAACCAGCAGCAACGAAGCAGAAGCCCAGGCAGAGCAGCATCGTAGCAAGGATTGAACCTAGGATCGCAGCCCTAATAACCTGGGTGTAGTCCACTGATGAGGTGGGGCTATACCGTTTTATCAGGACTATAAACAGAATAATCTCGACCAGCGACCCGAAGCTATCGACCGCAGCCAGTTAGCAACGTTACATAACCATGTCCCCAGCGGAAGGAGGAAGAAAATACTCACGTCGTCTCGGCTAACACACCAAACACATGCGGCACCTTCTTGGCCAAATTCTGTCCCGCAAACCCAACCAAGTTCGCACAAGGCACCATAGCAATATACGCCAATATGAATATCGCCAGATCTTGATGAGGGGCGGCGTATCTGAGGGCGATGGCAGCGGGCACCACGGGCCATAGCACGTTGACCATGCGAGACGCCAGCGAGGACGAGCGGAACACGATGCGGAAAAAATGCCACGGGTGGATGCCGGTTCGTCCACTTTCGCCGCCTGCGCGAACAGGGAACCACGATTTTGGGGCCGGTGGGTGGTGGTGGTGGTGAGAGCCATGGCCGTGGCCTTCTGTTCCGATGGGATCAGAGTGGAGAGGAAGCTGTTGAGGTCCTCGGCTGGAAGAGGAGCCGCGCGGGACGCCTCCAGAGTTGGCGTTTCTCTCGTCCAAGATACGTTCGGCGGCGCGCTTTTCTCGCGCCGCTGCATGGTAGGGCGATGTCATGGTGTGTTTTGGTTGCTGTCTAAGCTAGGTATGTTGTGAGTGATATGAGTGAAGATTTGTAGTTGTAGACAGCGGAGGTAGGTGGCTTCCCGGTAGCGCGCCTCCTGTACCAGAGATGTTTGTTTGCAGTTGCTCGTCTCGACGAGCAGTGACCCCCCAAGATACAGCGTCCTTTATTCAAGACGGACAAAATGATGGATTTCAGCAAGGACGACTTGTAAACAGAGGTGGGGAAGAGAGATGGAAAAAAGAGCCCAATCGGCAAGCCACTAGGTGAAGGCGGTCAGCACTGGATTAGGTAGGTAGGCGTCACAACCCGACCAAAGTTCAGGTGGAGCAGTAAGCTTGTAAGACAAAAAACCACGGCTATGTATGAGGCGAGACAGGCGGGAACTCTTTAGTAGGAAGATGCATGGAGAAAACAGGACAGTAGCGAGTTTGTAAGACGAAGAATGAGGACGAGGAAGAGTGTCAAGACGTGATATTTATGAGCATCCACGTCGGTCTCACTCATTGATCGCAGGACTCACAAGAAGCATACATATCTGATAATTGGACCAGATGACGCTCACAACCCCACGGGAAGAAAAGAGAGAGAGAGAGCTGAAGTCAACCCACGCTCATCCTCCCCATTTGCGCATGGTCCGTCGCTGTTAGAAAACCGTTTATCATGGGTCTAGGCTCGAGGTTCGATGCAGGAGCCACCCTGCTCTTCTCACACCAGGGGGACCCCTAGAGGCAGCCAAGCGCCAAGAATCCGTTTGTGCTGGCTTCCCTTTGGCGAGCGTGGCTCGTCGGCGTCGAGTTTCAGGCCAGACTGTGGGGGTTTGACTGGGGCTTTTGGGGTGGACGGAGTTCGGACTGGAGGGCTGGGAGACCCAGTTGCAGATGAGGATCCAGACGAGTGCAATCCCATTCGCCCAGCCTTCCATGCGCTAGCTTCAAGTGTGACATCTTCTCTCTTGTTGATGTTCTTCGGCAAATCGGAAGATGGGTTTCGAGTGCCGAAAAGCTTAGGTATCGAAGCCTGTGATGTGTAACTGTACACTATACTTGACGGATACGAGGAAGCTAATGGATAGGCAGAAACACCATGGCATAATCGGCGGCAGTCGTTGTGCACAGATCTCCGCTAAATAAACATCGCGGTGGATCCTCTTTACCAAGTGTACGCTACACTACACTAAATCTAGTGTAGAGCCCTCGGCCCCAGCTTGTTAAGACGAGGTTGATCGCTGCACAGCCCATATCCGTAGCATTCGCTGAGTAAACACCATCCAAACACAAAAGCAACAACAAATGATGGAACCACTCTATGTGCAAAACACGTCAAAGCAGTCATTATGTGCCAAGGCGGGTCCCATATATGTACAGTCCGATGCTGGTTTGTTTGTTAGCTTAGTATATTAGACACTTTTGGTAGTACAATATAGATGGTGTATTAGACGAAATCTATGTCGAATAGTCCTAAAGGTTACACCTACAAATTCCAAGGCATTAACTAGATTTGATCTGGCATTTGAATGTTAGAGATGGCGTATCTATAGTAGCATTATGTATAAGTTAGCCATGAAAACGCATAGGAAAGTTGACACGGGGTCTCGAACTAATAAACAAACCAGTACTGGACTGTACATATCACTTTGGCAGTGCCATGGCGGGTGGCTTTTTTTGGGCTGCACAAAAGTCGTCAGCCAAGCTTCCTTGAAAGCTTGTTCGTTCGTTTTCGTGCAACGTTTTGGCGTGGGACGGTCCCAGGAAGGCATACCCTTGCTTCATGGCGATGCCCTCATTTCAAGGACTAACCATCACCTGCATGAGTTTGGAGAAACGTTGTGCTTGGAAAAAGTAAACATAAGTAACAAGGACCCCATGGGGAAGATGAAAACATTTCTCGGGTAAGCCGAGATCTATAGTTACATACTTCAACCGGGAATTCCAAACAAGACGACTTCTTAAAGCATACAGTTTACATTACATACCTACTCAATGTATTCTCATCACATCGTCAGTCATGAACCATCTACCTCCTCTTCCTCATCATCCTGCTCATCATTGACCTGAATCTCAATCTCCTCCCCCGCAAGCCCAATAATCTTGACCGTCTTCCTGTTCCGCGGCGGCACCGGTTTCGCCAAAACCACCGTCTCCACGCCCGCCGGACTGGTCTCCTCCGGCCCCATTGGCAAGCTCTCCACATCAATCGCCTCATCCAACAAGCTCTTGAGAATCACCTCAGCTCCCGCCTTGCTGATAACCGAATTAGCCTCCTTGCAGAGGTCCGAGCACACGCACTCGATGCAACCCTCGCGGCACTGACATGCCAACACCCGACCGAGCGCCTTCCTCAGTAATGTGTCGATAAACTCGAACGCCTTGATGTTGATGCCCGACCCGCCTGCGCCCCCCTTTGCGTCGTAGAAGGTCAGTCGAGCCGGCCGTTTCCGCTGCGTCTCCCGCCTGGCAAACTCTTTGAGGTGGTTCTTGCACTCGGTGCGCACGTCGCCCGGCATGCTCATGACGAAGTTGGGCATGAGGCTCATGATGGCGTGCTGGGCGGCGTGGATGGCTCCGCCAACGTGAAGGCGCCGCGACGTAAGGATTGCGAGTGAAGATTTCGGGACGTCGAGCCAGGTGCCCTTACTGTAGCGGATAACGGGCGGGTTGTCAACTTGGATGGCGTCAAGCACTCGGTTCATTCTATCGACTTTGAAGTAGCCGAAGACAACCTGGGTGATTCTGATGACCCCATGATAGGCGAGGGATTTCGATCCTTTGATGCGCCGGATGGCTTCTGTCTCCACCGGGTCAATGTCCGTGTAATCCCGCTGCTGAGTGGTCCACTCCACCTTGACCTTCTCGACTCGCGCCATCTTATTGTCGGGGTTGAAGTCCCGTACGAGGTAGGTGTTACCTTGGTGTAGGAATATGGCTCCGTCGTAGATAGTGAAGGTTGCTCGGGATGCCTCCAACTCCTCTAGGACAACGTTTCGGTTGTTCGTGACGTCGACGATGGCGAAATGGTCTTCTTCGATATCGCGTATGGATACAAACTGTGACGGCCGAGGTCGGAACTTATCATGGCAGTGGTAAAAGCCCCGATCACCCTTGAGCAGCCGCTCTTCGCAAACCGTTGCTAGATCGTCACCAAAGTATTTGGAATCCTTAGCCGGTAGGATGGGCATTTCGTGTGCCGCGCATTGAATGTGGCCCTCCTTGACCAACATGTTCTCCATGTCTATACTAAGCTCACAGTTCGGTTTTGTGAAGAGTTCATCCGGATTTTGCATATAATACTGGTCGGTTGCGAAACTGTCCCCAATTAGGACCGACAGAGAGTCTCTATTTCGCCGGCCAGCTCTCCCACTCTGCTGTCTGAGGTTCGCTATTGTGTACGGAAACCCCCAAGTTATGACACAATCTAGATTTCCGATGTCAATGCCAATTTCAAGAGCGGTGGTCGCCACGATACCCATGAGCTTGCCCTCAAACATTTCAGTTTCTATACGGCGCCTGTCCTGGGCAGTGTAACCGCCTCGGTACCCCATGACTCGAGACATGCACTCGGAGCGGCCTCTGTGCTCCAGTTCTTGTTTGATTGCATTGACCAGTTTTTCGCAGTGTTCGCGTACGCGACAGAATGCGATGACACGAACACCGCGGAGGATGAGCTCGCAGAACAGGCGGGAACACTCCAACTTGGCATTACCACGTCCGCTGGACGGATCTCCAGGGTCTTTGTACGGAGTGTTCCAGCAGAGGAACTCCTTGCGACCCGACGGAGAGCCGTTGAAGTCAATGAGTTTGACGTCTTCAACGCCGAAGATGGTAGTGAAATGCTCCTTTGGGTTGGCCACGGTTGCTGAACACGAGATGAAGAGTACGTGCGTATTTCCCAACGCTGCGAGGATTCGGCGCAGTCGTCTCATGATGAAGGCAACATGTGAACCCATTAGGCCGTTGTAATAGTGCAGTTCATCCACTATCAGAGTGAATAATAGTCAGCAAAGGGTTCCCATTTCCGCAGCCGGCTGAGCATATGAACGCTAGGCCTCACTCACCAACAACATATTTCAGGTTTTGCAGAAACGACCTCCACCTTTCCTCCTGGGGTAAGATCGTAATATGCAGCATATCAGGATTCGTGAATATGATGCGTGCATCATCGCGGATGATGTTTCTGTCATGCATTGGCGTATCGCCGTCAAATGTTTCAACGATCATCTCTTCCAGTCCAGGCATAAAGCTCATGACTTCCTTCAGGCTCCGCTTCTGGTCTTGCGCAAGCGCCTTAGTTGGGAAGATGTACATGGCTCGCGTATTCCGGTCCTGCTCAAGGGCATGTATGACAGGCAATTGGTAGATGAGGGACTTTCCCGAGCTGGTGGACGTGGACACTACCACATGACGTCCGTCGTGCAAAGCGTTTATGGCATCGGCTTGATGTGCATAGAACTGAGTAATTCCCTTGGTGTTGTAAAGCGCATTAACCAGATCTTGGCTGAGTAGAAAATTCAGATAGCCGTAAACAGGTTCCTGAGATTCAAATACTCTATGGCCATCAGGTATTATCTGACCCGTGTACCAGGGACTATCCTTCAGCTCCTGTACTATCTCCGGAATACCTTTCCTCTCCTTCGGGATGCTTGCGGGCAAGGTGCTGGGTTTTGTCTGGGGGGTTGACGCTCTGGGTGTTGAGGGCCTGGGAACGAAGGGTTCGGACTCGCTTCTGAGTGCCATTTCCGGATCTAGACTTTCTGCAGCACAGCGGTTCAAGAAAATGTTGACTGCATTGGCGAACTTGGTGTTCCTCTTTTCTATTAGTGCCGTCATTTGCTTCTGACTATACACAGGCATTTTGACATGCTCATGTCGAAGCCTGCGAGTCGGCTTAGTCGGGACTCCTGTTTTCTTGTCCTGGACTTGCCTCTTGAGATCTTCATCAATGAACTCAAAGTAGAGGACTTCCCGTCCAGATTTTGACTCTTGCTCCTCTTCAC